TACCACTGATGTCGTAACGAAATATCCGTTAAAATATTAAACAAATACATTTCTTCACAATATGTTTTGTGTGTTAGCAGAAATTCTTTGGATTTCAGATTTGCACACTCTTATCAACACTGTGTATGTCATTTTTTATGTCAAAAGCGATCAATTGTCTTGTCGATCATAATTTGATTCGAGAAATAAAGTTAGTGAAATAAGTCAGTCAGTATCTTCTACTTTATTCTTTGTCTTCTCTCAATGTTATATGAAAATAGTACAATATTCTGTTTTCACCTTTTACTATCGAGGAGGCATATATCTACTAATATTTAGAATTCGCCTTGAGCTTAATGTGCTACTCGAACGTGTTGTTTATTTTGACCGATGCTTGGTAGAAAAATAATAATTAATTAATAGTCATAACTTTCAGATTATGTATTTAAGTTTTCATAACATAACATCACGCCTTTTTATCCCTGAAGGGGTAGGCAGAGGTGCACTTTATACCACTGTACAATGTAACACCCACTTTTCACTATTTATGTTATGAGTCCCATGTAATAGGGGGTGAGCCTATTGCCATATACCGGACACAATTCCAGACTCCGTGCTACTACTGAGAATATTTAAAAACCCAGTAATACTTTGCCCGACCCGGGAATCGAACCCGAGACCCCTTGCCCGGCAGTCGCACTTACGACCACTCGGCCAACGAGGCAGTCAGCAGTATTTAAGTTTTCATATTGTATTTTTTAGACTAACACAGATGAGGCCTAGTAGGGCTCGTGCCCGATACGGAGACTAAAGAAGAACCCCGGAAGACTTAAAGGATCCGGCTCGAAGCACAAGTGTTCCTACTTGTGCTTCGAGCTTTTAGTTGGGGTTGATTTTTAGACTTTGACCCTCTGTCGCTTCACCATTGGATGATTTTCTCCCTCAAAAAAGGTTACAATTTTCTTGAGCCAACAACGACAGGGTGAATACATTGGTCGTCTCTTTACCTCTTTCCGTCCGGATACTGTAAGAAATGCCTTGATGATGACTAAATACCTACTAAATATTTTCTTAGAAAAATATACAAATATCTTTCGAGCTTTTGCTCGCGGTGAGGATCAGTTCATTTTTATTTTTTAGGAAGGTATATAAACGTAGATGTTAAAATTGGATAACATTTATATATCTATATGAATAAGAATGAATTTCCATTCGTTAGCCTAACTAAAATTCGAGAACGGCTGAACCGATTTTGGCTAGTTTTGGTCTTGATTTGTTTGTGTAAGTTCAGGGAAGGTTTAAAAAGTGAGAAAATAATTTTAGGCGGTACGACATCCGTCTGCATACAATCCGGAACTTAAATTATTGGGTGGAGCGTTTAAATGCTTACATAAAGTTTGTTGCCAATTCGTTTGCTCACAGACAACATTGATGGCGTAATGAAGTAGCTGTAATACAAACTTCGTAATTGAATTGATATGTTTTTGAAATTAATGTCGACTTACGACATTGATGAGTTTCTAAAATAATTTTAGTCAAAGATAGCGGCACTTTGATTTTAAATTATCAATTTCTGTTATTGAACACAATTAATTATTTGTCAATTAATTACTATTCTTAATAGTTATTTTTTAATTAAGTTGTGAAAGTAAAAATAAATACATTATTGTTCACCTACCACCTCTCAGATTCTTTCTCAAAAATTCCATTCAAAGGTTGTCTGGAAGAAATCCGCGCTTGTGATAAAATCGCCCAATGTACTCAAATTACTATTAATAATAAAAAAAATAATAAAAATCTTTATTCATTATAAGAAATTGGTCATAGTACAGATAATAATCTTAATTTTAAATCAGACCTCACTAGGTTTGAATGCCTGTACTAGGAAAAATATCCTGTATCACAGGCGAAAGGAGCACTCACAATGTTACTAATTCTAGGACAAGTTATTTATATAAACAAATTCCATAACATAAGTAATCGATCAAAGTAAAGTAAAGTTGATTATTTAATATACATACATACATACATACATACACACTAAACAACATACAACTAAATATTAATATTATCGTATAAGTACATTTATTAAACAAGTAATTATATTAGCTTAAATACAAAACATAGATATACATATATATATAAAACATAGGAGGAACTATAGTACTGAAGAATTTGATACATCAACAGAAACATAATCTAGTTTACAGTCCAAACGGTCATTCACTTGGTGTTACAATAAAATACGCTTGAACAGCAACAAATTGTTGAGTACGCCAACTTGTTACGATGTTAACTAATGTGCAAGGGAAGGTTAATCAACTCTGTAATCCGAGAGTATGACACTTTACGCGTCCTCATAATCGATAGAGTTGATGTACCTATATTCAGCTATTTTCCTAGCCGGACAGTCAGTGTCTCCGGTTTTATGGTTATTCGGCTTATTGTAACGAGAGCATGTAGCACATTTAGGGGATTCCGACTTTTTAGTGCACGAGGATTGTACATGTCCTGCTTCTCCACAATGGCCACACGATGAGTTGATCTCCCTGCATGATTTTGCTGCATGTCCATATAGTTGGCAATTATAGCATCGCGTTACAAGCGTAAAGTCTCTGACGGGGCAAGAAGTCCAATTGATGTAAATTCTCTCTTGGGATATAAGGGCTTTACGTATCTTGCCTGGAACTTCGATGATGAAATTGCAGGTCGGTGCATCCTTTCTTCCCGATTTGTGACTTAGCTTGACTGATGTTAAGAAAGACTCCATTGTCATCTCCGGGAGCTTGTCAGACACGTTCTGTTCATAAATACACCTGAAGACGTCAGTATCAGTCATTGTCGACGGCACTCCTATAACTGCGATTCGTGGTTTGCGCTTCTTAGGTTCGTCTGCGAGAAGACCGGATAACGACAGGCCAACTGCATTCTTCACTTTTTCAGCATCCTGTTTCGACTCAGTGCTGATTATTACACCTCCGTTTTGTGTCTTGCGGACTCCACGCACGTGCAGCTTCATCTCACTAGGACTTATAAGTGTTTGCACCATAGTTTTAGTTTCCTCGCTAGTTTTCAATTTATTGGCCGGATACACAGCGACAGAGGCCAGATTGTTTGGTCGAACGAAATCGGATCCTTTTCTTACCATGTCCGCAAAAGACACAGTCTTGGCTGTAGTTGAGTCCTTGAGAGATTTTTTAATCTCGTCGATTTGTTCCGAAAGGTCACAGTTTTCTCTCATTTCATCAATTATGTTGACGGCTAGGCGAGCTTGCTGCTTCAGAGCTTGATAAAGGACAGCCATTTGCGAGACATCAGCTCCAATTTTACGGCTCAGGTTTGATATTCTAAGCTTTTGCTCCGAATTCAGTTTGCCTTCCGTTGCAATGACACATACTTCATTTAACTGCTGTTCAATGCTTGCCATCCAGTTCTGAATGTCGGGCGTGGACACAGCTTCTATAGAGAAGTCAGATGTACGGCTGCTTTCTATTGGTGAGGCACAGGAAGCCAGGTTGCTCGGGTTTTTATCCATTTTTATTCAAATATGATTATGTTTCCATTATAAAATACTAAATTTCAAACTAAGTAAAAATAATTTAGTAGGTCACTCTTGCGTTAATTCAACAGTATGTATAATGCACACGTCTGTTCACATCGAACGTCAAATGTATTAGTTACAATGTAAATCAATTTTTTTGTGTTTGCAATAAAGTAAAAAATAAAATTAATAAAATTGCTTTCCAAGTACCTAATCTTGTGAAAAATGACGATACTATTTAGTAGAACAAAATTTAAATGTACCTACATATTTATGAAAGTGTTGGAAAATTGTCAATCGCGTTCACACACGACTTTATTTAATTTAATTTAATTATTACTATAAATATGTTCAACGTTCATCATTGATCACATGTCGCGGAGAACCTAACGGGTTACCGGGGCTCCGGCTCGACATGCAGGATAATTAACGGGGTGGTTTTTAGTCAGTAAGAGTCTGACACTCCATCCCGCCTCACCCAGCCGGGAGCAGACATTCGATTACTTTCCCCCCTTAAAAAAAATCATTGATCACACATACATACAATATTTTCCGAAGGATGTAAGTGCTAACAGGAACTTGATGTCATCAAACAAGCGATATTTTATTTGTTATTTCCGCAATCTATCGAGACAGTTGTATTTATTCGACTGAGCCTTGACCTAATCGGTTGTTAAATGACTGAGGTACTTCACGAACGACTTTGAACTGTGATTATCGGGAAATGCTTTGTTTTTATGAACAAACTGCATCTTATAAAACTTTTTTATACTAATTAATAGCTCGACGTTTGGCCACCATCTCGCCCGGTGGTAAGCGATGATGTGGCCGACGATGGAGCACGTCTACCTATGAGCAACCTCTTCACTTAATTATATTCGTTACCAATTATAACGCAAACACGGCTGGATCGTTTTTCTTCTTGTTTGATTTGTTGTAAGATTGAGTATCAGCTCTGAATAGCACTATTGAAAAGTTCAAATCACTATGAGCCAATCAAATGCACTCATTTCTGGATTCCGCTACAAAACTGAAGTGTTTTGGACAATACGAATACTTTAGAAAATATTTTAATTAGAAATATGCATAATCTAATATATAAAATTCTCGTGTCACGTGTGTTGTTTTCGTTACCATACTCCACCGGGACGCCTTGATCGATTTTGATGACATTTTTTGTGCTTATCCGGTATCTATGAGAATCAGCCAACATCTATTTTTCATCCCCCTAAATGTTAGCGGTAGTCCAGCCCTAAATTTTTTTTTACTTTTTGACAAAATTTTTCAATTCCATTTTTTTATGATACAACATACCTACAAAAATACAAACAATACTCAATTTTCACCCTTCTACGAAATTATTTATATGGCAAAATAATGTTTGCCGGGTCAGCTAGTTCTATATATAAATATGTCTTCCCTATTAATTATATCCACTAAAATTAAATTAATAATATTTTTTTTCTATTTTAATTACCAGGATGGCAGCATCGCACATCCTGAGCGCTGTGGAGCCGACGGTCGGCGGCGGCAGTTCGCGCAGCGGCCGCGAGAGAGAAGTCAACGTGGCCCTCGATGACAGAGAACTATGGGTGCGGTTCCAGACTCTCACCAACGAAATGATCGTCACTAAGAATGGAAGGTAAGAAATAACCATCCAATACTAATATTATAGAGGTGAAAATGTGTTAATTAATTATCTGCCTGCCTCGTTGGCCGAGTGGTCGCAAGTGCGACTACCGGGCAAGGGGTCTCGGGTTCGATTCCCGGGCCGGGCAAATTATTACTGGGTTTTAAAAAAATACTCAGTAGTAGCAGGGAGTCCGGAAATGTGCCCGGTATATGGCAATAGGCTCACCCCCTATTACATGGGACTCATAACATAAATAGTGAAAAGTGGGTGTTACATTATACAGTGGTATAATGTGCACCTCTGCCTACCCCTTCGGGGATAAACGGCGTGATGTTATGTTATGTTATGTTTTCGGCTTACTCACGTAATTGTTTGATGAGGAACTCGACTAGTTTCAAGCCATGCTAGAGGCTCATATTCATGAGCAGCATTCCGCGACCCGCGACGCGGCGACTGTCGCCTGTTGATGATGATGTTTGACGAGTTCCTTGTGAAACAGTTACGTGAGTAAGCTGAAAACATAATAATTAATTAGTGTGTCTTACGAAAGTTTTTAATAGAAAATGTGGATTGTTCAAATAGCAACAGAACATACTTCGTTCAAAAATATACTTGATTTTTGTATCTAGAGACAGCTAAGAGGCTGGGTGAGTGTTAAAAGAATCATGCGGGCGCATCCGCAGGCAAAAAGTTAGACAAATTATGTATGTAGAAGTAATTTTCCGCTCATAGTTTTGGTTGCAGTTTTTAAATGTTTATGATTCATGCATTTAAATTTTCCACGAGAATCTGTTTACTGCTGAAAACTGCATAAAATGTGTCCAGTCGTTTTTGTATTTATCGCAAACACGTAGGTAGATAGAAAGAGTTTTATTTGTTTCAATACCGTGATTAGGTACATAAAAATGGATTCAAATAATATGATTTTAATAATGTCTTATTTATCTATGACTGCCTCGTTGGCCGAATGGTCGCAAATTGCGACTACCAGGCAAGGGTTCGGGTTCGATTCCCGGGTCGGGCAAAGTGCCCCTAGACTTTTTAAAAATTCTCAGTTGAGTCTGCACGGAGCACGGAGCATGGAGTCCCCTATTACATGGGATTCATAACATAAATAGTGAAAAGTGGGTGTTACATTGTAGTGGCATAGAGGCAATACGTACCGTATTGCGCACCTCTGCCTACCCCTTCTGGGACAAAAGGCGTGATTTTATGTTATATTATTTATCAAATAAAGTCTATTAAAAAAGCTTATATAAAATATAAATTCGTGTTCAAATGACTTGGCTTGGCACAAGTTATCCCAATATGGACTTTTCAATTTGTTACCTTATAGTTTTATTGATCTGAGAACTGAAATATAAATAATGGCTTTAAAATATATGAATGATTTGCAACGCATTAGCAGCATGGTGTTATATAAACAACTATCTAAAAAGTAAACAACGTTTTCGTCATAATTACATTAGAGTAATATAATACAATGGCTAGACGTTACAGAATGTGCCGTACCTTTATTTCTTTGCTGCAAAGTTTTTGGCAATTTACGTAAGTACACACAGCCAATCATATAATTGAAAACCATTAGTATTAACATGGGCCTTCGTTGCCTGATGTAAATGAATAAATAAATAAATAAAAAAAAATTGTACATTCATCGCCCTTTCTAGTTAGGACGGGGCTTGCTGGGCTGTATAAGTACCTACTGAATCTTTCAATTCCAACTTTCGAAGTGAGCTCGATCGCATTCTGGTTGAGATTATTCTTACAACCAATGACAGTAATGACACGGCGGACCGCGATCGAGTTCACTTTGAGCTTCCGAATTGAAAGTTACAGAATAACCTAGCAGATCCAGATTCTCTTTCCCAAAGTGTTGCTAGAAGTGTATGGTACTTTTTTCCTATATACTACTAGATACTTATGTCCGTTTTCCGCCAGTTTTTAGTTACAGTTGATTGCAGTAATTATAGCAGTTGTGCTTATTGAAATAACCATCACCAAAACGACTATCTAGGTACTTAAATTCTACACTAGATTTTAATTGCTGTCTAACTTCAAAAAGAAATACTCTCTGTAAAAAAAATATACCTTTCGAGATATTAAATCTTTTTTTTTCCGAATACAATGATAGCATAAGTAGGTAGTTACTTGCACAGTCACATTTTGCCAGTGCTAACCGCTTGCCGGCCGGCGGCTAGTTTTCAGCTATTAACGCGGTAGGTCTTACTCATTAACGCTATACAGCTAAATGATACCGCCCGAAGCCGATGAGCAATGGAACCCTTACCCTTGACGGAGTCATGACGTTTTGTTCTAGAGTAAGGCAATAACAACCTATTGTTTCTAACATTCACATGTTTTGTAACAAGATGACGCAGAAACTGCTTTGAAAGGTTATTTTCGAGATTGTTTTCCATTTTTGAAATGAGATCACAAAATTGCCTTTATGTGTAATTTATTTCTAGGATTCAGGTTAACTGTCAATTTTTGACCTAAAGTATGTGTTCTCTTTATCGAAAACTTACTATCTTACTTTTTACTATTCTATCTATGTATATCAACTAACTAATTCTTGTATGTATCAACGATCCCTAAAACGGCTTTAACGATTTTCTTGACATTTTGCACTTACGAGGTTTCGGTGGCGATAACTCGATCTACGTTTCAATTCCAGAAAATGTCGTTTAATAAAAAAAATCACGTAAATGCGAAAGTATGTGAGTTTGTTTGTATGTTTATTACTGAATTACGACAAAACCGCTGAAGAGATCGGTATGAAATCTGGAGTAATACATAGGCTACTTTTTATTGCACGGAAACGTGGGTGAAGCAGTCTGAAATTGCTAGCTTAAATAGGAAGTTAAATCCTTTGTTAAATAGGAAGTGTGATGAATATAATGGTAGGTTTTAAAACACCGGTAAATGCCGACACATATCTCAGAAATTGTAATAACTTTTAGGTGACGGATGTTTCTGGGGCTTACCCTATACATAGATTGCAAAAAAGAGAAATCGAGAGAAAAATATACTAGCATACATCAATGTAAATTAGTCCCATAGTAACTACCAAGCAACATAACACTATTTCAGCATAAAATCGTTACAACATGTCAATATTTAACTATTCTTTGTCATTTAAAAGGCCTATCGTAACTGAGTAAACATAGCCAGGCATGCCATGAGAATCAGTGCCTTTTACGCCATATTTGACCACTACCTGTTCCCTCTTGTATGGCTACTCCGACATGAGATAAGGGTTAAAAAAGAGGAAGGGAAAAAACCATTTTCTATGTTATCGCTACCATCGGTTATCTGGCTTTCAGTTGGGTGCATGTGCATATTCACCGATAGGAATAGAGAACTGATATGGAACGCCATAAATGAATTGAAACTTTTAAATGAAATATTTCATCTGATTTTGCACAGTTACTTGACTTAAATCTTGATTTTAAGGTTCAATCTTGAGATTCAATCGATATCCGACCCAATGTTGGATTTACAACAATGAAATATTTTAATAAAACCACCACTGATTTACATAATGTGGAATTTGATAGAAGATTACTCCGATAGTTGGACATGAAATGTTTATGCTGCTGAAAAGCGGATTTATATAGTGCAAATGTGAAATTACTGTCAATCTTTTGTAGTAAAGTGGAAAATATCAGCGTTTTATTTCTGCATTTCTACATACCTAATTAAAAGACTGTGTTTTGTTTCAGACGAATGTTCCCCGTAGTTAAAGTAACAGCTAGTGGCTTGGATCCGACGGCGATGTACACCGTGTTACTAGAATTCGTGCAGGTCGACTCCCATCGCTGGAAATATGTTAATGGAGAATGGGTATGTGTTCCAAATTCAATTCCAATTCCAAATTTTAGTTAGTATAACATCCAATAGCTGTAATAGTCCATTGATAAACTCTGGGCTTCCTCTTCATAAGAGGGGTTTTCCGTTTTCATGGCTCGATAGTACTTCTAGTAACAAATGTGTTCTACTTTGTCGTAATCACACGGCACCTGTAGAGGAGGATCGTATTATCATCATTTATCATATTTCATCATGTATGTTATTATCATATATATTATTATCATTTTACAATACAATGTCTATACAAATTATTTTTTTATTAATTCCTAGGTACCTGGCGGCAAAGCGGAAGTGCCTCCATCGAACGCAATTTACATACACCCCGAGAGCCCAAACTTTGGAGCACACTGGATGAAAGAACCGATATCCTTCGCTAAAGTCAAACTTACGAATAAAACTAATGGAAACGGACAGGTACAGCAAGAAATAATATTTATGAATTATTATTTTATTTAAATTTGTAATAGTTTAATATTTTTCGTGTGATCTAAGTCTAGATACTATTTATTTGTTTAGGAATTTTCCTTCATGTAGAAATTCTTATACCTACGTAAGTACCTACATACATATTAAAAAAAAACTAATAACCCGAAAATGTTTGAACATTTCAACATTAAATCGTCAATACCTGGATTTTTTATTTGAATAGACTTTTATAGCACAAACAAAACAAAGTTTACTTTGAAACTGATGAAATTCCTCATTTAACTAGATATTTGTGTGAATGAACGAAAACTAAGATTTTATGTACTAATGAATACTAAGATTTTATGAACTATTTAAAATGAGTCAAGATATAGGTACCTATAGTACGTAGGTTATATCTCTATACATTTAATAGCTCAATAACACCGACTGCATAAATAAAAGTACGTTTGCGAATCAGACGTCTGTTTACGAGATACTTTGTAGAGTTTACTACGAGCGTTTAACTACATTGTTTCTCATAAGCATAAATGAGTTTCGAACAGGATAAACACAAATTACGGATTCAATATTTATAGCGGGATCTACGCTAGATTATGTGCCTGACCGAGCATAATAATTAGTTCACAGTATTGTCAGAATAGTAATTTTATAACAGAAAGCTCTCGCTGCAAGGTGTGACTGTGCTACAGTTTCGTGGCTACCGCTATCGCCAGTTCGGAGAAGCGAGTTCTCACGGTTGTATGTGGTGCGAATGAATATGAAAGCAAACATCTGATACATCTAGATCCATATGTTGACGGCTCGGTGTGAAATCTGTAGCTTTACCAACTGTTTAGCGGGTGTCTGTACGCACTATCATTTGTAATAATTATTGTCTCTGCGCTATGTTTACATTACACATATCTTAAAAATAAGTAGATGCCCCCTGTGGTCGTTATGTTAACAACACTCATGTAGACGTCTCATTGCATTTCAATTATAACATTATATCTTCGACGCGTGGCAGCATTACGTTACCTCTTTGTGCTAAGCAAATCGTTTCGTGTGCCAGCATTTGCTCATTTTATTACTTTTATTTTATTACTTTTTGGTTTCAGATAATGTTAAATAGTTTGCATAAGTACGAGCCTCGAGTGCACCTTGTAAAAGTCGGTACCGATCTCCGACGAATAATGACGTACCCATTCCCGGAGACTCAGTTTATAGCAGTCACAGCTTACCAGAATGAAGAGGTGACTTCGTTAAAGATAAAATACAATCCATTTGCGAAAGCCTTCCTAGATGCTAAAGAAAGACCCGAGGGTTATTATCAAAGAGATTTTGTGGGCACGCATTATCCTCAACAAAGTTCTTCGCCACATCAGTATCCTCAATGTGAGTAGTTTTTATTTTTTAAACGTTGATTAAAGTATAATCTGAAAATTGACTTAATTTAGATACCTAAGTTGAAATATATGGCTCTACTCGTTTCAAACATCACTGGATGCATATTTATGAGCAGCCTGTGCGGCGTGGTTGTGTAGCACACCCAAACTTTTTATATATTACCTATGTAAGTATTTTACGCGAGTAAGCTGTATAATTTACTATTAATGTGGTACTTACTTAAGTTGATAATAAAATACTATCTCTTAATTTCATGAGTCCGCCTAGGAACTTTTTTCAGAATCTTTAATATCAATATTTATTTATTTTCCAGTCGGTGGATGGTTTGTGACTTCCCAGTCATTGTATGGGAGCAGTAACGCAGCGTCAAGAAGACCGGCGCCCTATCCCCCGCGACCACCGTCACGGCCAAGAACATTGTCACCGCCTTGTAAGTTCATAGATCTTTTTCGTTACTATAAAGCTTTTTATAAAAAAAAGAGAAAAAGGCTTGGAAATGAGTGATTTATGATGCACTTAATTCTTGCCTATCATTGAATGTTACGCAAATCTGTGTTATGAAATCTGTTTGTAAACGCATAATAATATATCGATATACCCACGGTACCTATTCGAATGACAGTTAAAGTTTATTTTATTTTTTCAACAGCCTCATACAGCAATTCGGAACGAACGACAACTGCGACGAATGGCACCGGCAGTTACACTTGGGTCAGCAGCAGTGGCTACTGGAACTCCACACAAGGCAGCAGTTCTCCACAGCCAAATACTTCCCCAGCTCCATACCGTACCCCTCCCATGCATACCCAGCGCCTTTGGAGTATGCCCCTGCACCCCCTACTAGCACATCAGCGCCATCATCAGCTCCCGCACCGCTCTACCCTCTTCAATACGAAACTCCAGCGCAGCATCATTCCCCGTATTACCAACATGCTTACGCACCGTACGCGCATCATGCGATCGAAGATATTTCTTATTGGCCAAACAGGTTAGTAAATACCATAATAGACTAGCAATCCATAACTAAATATAAAGTAGTGACTACTTTATATTATTTCTACGTAATTTACTAGGTCATGATTTATACTTTTTACACAATTAATTTAATCATTGTATTTTCAGTTTGAACAGCTACGGCTATCAGCCATCTGAGTATGTCGGGAGTGGAGAAGTGGCATATGGTGCTGAGGGCATGCCTTTCGGGCCTGCTGGACCTTCTCTGGAAGCCGCCGCAGCCGGTGAAGGTCGTGCCACGCCCCCCGGACAGGAACACCCACAAAGCGAACGAGAATACAAGTTTAGCGCCGAAGAAGAACGTCAGTCGCCGTGTGATGAGGCCGCACTACCACCACGTTCACCAGCGCAGTGACCATCAACCTAGTTCATAAGATAGTTGCAAATAATAAGGATGAATTGCAAAACCTTCTAAAATATATTTTTGTATTTTACGATTTTTAAGGTTGAAATTAGAGAAAATATTTTATCTAGGTACTACGTAGGTAGATGTATTGCGTTATTCCCTTTTGAGAAATGTGTATATATTATACTAGAAGATTTAATAATGTATTTCTAAAATAAGTTTGGAATTCATAAGAGTGGATAAATAATACGTAATGTAATAGTTCCAATTTATTGTAAGTATTTTTTGCACTTTGTTACATAGATTTTCATTCACACACCCATTTAAATTGGATTGCTTCTCGACTTATCCAGTACCTAAACAGTCACAGTCAGTGTTCCAAGTGTGACTTTTTATTATTATGTACTTACTTGAGTGTTGACTAATACAAATTGGCAATCCATTGGTAATAAACTGGGTGAAATGTGGGTAGGTTAGTTGCCCATTTTCCTACAAATCTTAGCTATTAAATTAGCATCCCTTGCAATAAACCAACCCGTGGCTATCGCTGTTCTAATCACGAAATAGTATTTGGCTTTTTCAATAAATTAAGAATGTAAAATTTAGCAGATCGAATTGTGTAAAGCGTAAAGAAAAATTGCTTTTGCGATGTTGACAATAAATCATGTTTCTGTTATGACACGTATTTTTATTTACATACATATACATATCTTATCGCCTGTCTCCCATGGGGGTAGGCAGAGACTATGGAACGCCAATTACTATGATACCTACATACCTCTTTCGCTTCATCAACAGTCATCAACCTTTTCATGCATGCTCGTCGGTTAACCAGTTAACCGATATAATATTGTAGTTTTGAAGGATACTTTTAATTTGGCCCTTCTTTAATATATTGCCAATCTGGTTACTATATGTCATCTAGGGCGCCCTCTACCGACGGCACCATTCATATCCGCTCTGTATACTTTTTTCGTTACTCTACTTTCATCCATCCTTTCTACATGTCCAAACCAGCGTAAAATCCCTTTTCAATCCTTGTCACTACATCATCTTTCAATCCACACTTTTCTCTAATAACACTATTTTTCACTCGATCACTCAATTTTAATCCACACATAGGTACTTCTCAGGGCTCTCATTTCCACCGCATTAATCCTGCTTTCATGCTTCTTGCCACACCCGTGATTCACTACATTTATTAGCGTTGGTATTTTTATTGAGTTACGCAATATCTACATCTCAATGTGATAAATAATTAAATACTAAATAAGTACTAGGTACGTGAGTACCTGTAAACTTGCTACCTAAAATAAGAAAAACATATAAGGCCCGAAGCACACTGTGCGGACAGAATGGATCAAGTCAATTCGACTGCAACGCCATCGCCCATGGACACTTGGTACACTAAAGGCGTTACAAGTGCGTTACCGGCCTTTTGGGGATTAGGAGTTTGAGGATCGTTGGGGATTCAGGAATTGGGGAATTGGGGAAGGGGAGGGTAATTGGGCCTCCGGTAACCTCACTCACATGACGCAAGCGTTGCTTCACGTCGGTTTTCTGTGAGGCCGTGGTATCACTCCGGTCGAGCCGGCCCATTCGTGCCGAAGCATGGTTCTCCCACACTTATTTGAGTGTTTACTTCGCTATCAAAAATATTGTCCTGTACAGCTGTGTACTTGGCACCATACTTATCACGACGGCTAATATCTTTAGGTGGGTACGGGATGTGGGTTGATAATAATTTAGAACATAAGTAAGTAATAAATATTAAAGAATTTTTTGTCTTCGCCTCTATATTTTGAGTACCTAAATTATTTGTTAAAATACTACCAATTAAAAACTTTTTGTTATTATTGAGCCCACGACTAGATTACGTAAGTTAATATATCATTAATTAATGTTATGCACCCAAATATCTTCGTCCATTCGAGGATTATTAAAGCTGATTTCTAGACTTTTTATTATGAATGTGTTCGTATTTGTACGGTATTTGTACTTGACTAGTGGTGCACCAAAATGTACCATAGTGCCGATTTTATGAAACTATCAAACCAAAATCCAAAACCAAGTGTAATGGATATTGTCTATTAGTTGCGTTGTTTTTGTAATGGCAACATATAGAGACTGTCAAAACTTTACCTATGTCAATGTCATTATCTCTGATGTCAATGACCCTGACTCAAACAGTCGAACTCGAAACGTCAATCAAAAAGTCATAACTTTCGCGCGTGTTATTGAAGAAATCTAGAAATGGAATCTACTGTGTCGGTTTCTAAGGTAAATAGACATTTATTTTCCAAGTTTTGTGTAGCAATCCGAAAGTATTATGTACAGATACCAATTTATTTTATAAGTCGAAACATCGGGACATTGTTTTGGGACGCTTTATAAAAACATTGATTACTACACTTTGATGTTTGCACATTCAAATATGAGTATTCGTTATTTTGTGTTATTAATGATACATTAATGATTTCGATTGAGTTGATTAATAACTGAACCACATTTTAAACCATACTACTAAACCTAGAAGTTCAGCAAACACTGCTAAATACATTACTCGCCAATTTTCACCTATTGAAGCCCTATTGTTAAGTGTATTAATGTTTGTAACTTGAAAATAAAATACATTTTGACTGATTTACATTGAATAATATAAAACCATTTATATTATGAAGAGTACATAGAATAAAAGAGTAAATGAAGAGTACATGATATTTTTGACTAAGCTAAATAAACATGTCTAATAACCTATTCTCGAATTTCATTTATCTATTAGTTATAAGTAATTTGACGTAAAAATCTTGTTGTTTAGCAGTAGGTAGGTTATATAGGTATGTATTTTTAATTTCATCTTTTTTTGCCTCTTGCTTTTTGTCTCTTCAAGAAGAAACTAAGATCATTTTACACTTTAGATTAAAGTTTTTCTGTTTTATGTGATTTAGTAATGTAATATTTCCCTATTATGCATGTTGTGTTCACATCTTACTAGATGTGTTTGTTGCTGTATTTGATATTTATGTTTGATTGTATTCAGTTTTGCGAATCAAAAAAAATCTATTTTAAAGCCTATTGAGAATGGATACAGCTTCTCGCTGATGTTGATCTAATGTCTTGTTTTTCACTGTTTCCAGGGAGTTTTCCTGTTCCCAAATGGATATAAAAAAGGGAAATCTAATAAGAAGAAAAACAATCAAGTATTGTTCGAAAAGATATTTAGGAATGAACTTTGGTATGATACATACAAACAGAACTGGTATTACATTGAAAATGAATTGCAGGTAATTGGAAAGCCCTTTCAGTATAAGTAAGCATTTATTATAAGAATTTAAATGGATTTCATAATCCTATTGTAATTTAATTACAGTTTTAAAAAGCTGCTGAATTGATATAAATGCTTTATTACAAGGCTAGATTAAAGTTTGTATTAGTATTTAGACTACTTTTCATTCAAAAATACAGGTACAGGCTTTGACAGAAGGTAATTAGATTGAAAAGAACTTAATTATATCTAGGGTAAACTAACCAAAAACAAGAAAAAAGACTAGTTCTTTTTCTTGTTCCCACAACATGAAACAACGCTTACTCCCCTCCCCAATTCCTAAATCACGAACAATCCTCAAATTGCCAATCCCCACAATGCCGGCAATGCATTTGTATCGTCTCTGGTGTTTCGGGTGTCGATGTTTGGCACTTGATTGCTAACTATCAGGTGATCCTCTGCACGTTTACTGGCTTATCCCATAATAAGAAAACCAGTTACTTTTATTGTTATTTGTATTGAAAAAGGGAAGATATTAGAAACAAAGAAAGAAAAACCGTTTATTACACCACAACACACATGCAGACAACAATACAATTAACATAAAAATAATATTATGGTGCGTCGCAGCGCAAAAGCTGCTACTAAAAGCTCGGCTTAATACTGTGGCCCAGGCACGAACGCTCGAGTCCATAGCGCTGATTTTTAGCACCGGCCTGTTAAATACCGTTGGGGCCTACTGCACATTCACCCACCAGACGGTGCCAACATGGGTGTCCGTTTTCGTCTTATAGAGAATAAGTTAGTGTCAAGCCATTGGCGATTATTAGTAATTATTATACTTTTTTCTAATTTACAGGAACTCATCATAAAACACATAGTGTATTGCTGAATGATATAGTAAATTACATCAAAAATCATGGAATCAGTGAGTCATCTACTTTGGAAGGCATCATTCCTAGCGCCACTCTGTTGACTGGAGTCAATCAACCAGACCATGTATCTCAATTCACATCACTTATTGATCTTATTAGGTAAGCTGTGTGAAGAGATAAAACAAAGTATACTATTATACTGTATTTCACGTAGTTTAATAGGGTCTTCTATTTAGCAGAAACTTGTAAATAAAATTATGCATTTCGATTCCTACCATATTATGCCAAACAAGTTTCTGCGAATTGGAGATTCTTTGCCATTCATTATGTGAAATTAATTTTTACTACATAAACTCTGCCTTAACCGCTGAGTGCCTGTATAGGAGACACAATAGACAATACATTGTGTCTCGCGTGGATCCAGGTTTAGACACATGACAGGTTAAAAGGTAGACCCATTTTAATATAACTATTTTGGAATATTTTTATTTGTACACACAGTTTTATTAGTTCATTAAGGAGTATTTAATTTAGTATAATAATAGCTAACATACCGTTTTTGTATTTATCAATTGTTTTGTCTTATCTGCATACTAATATAATTTAACAAAACTATAATATAGCTGAAATTTAATGGTTACGTGTTTTATACAAGTTATATTTGTGCAATGTTTCAGAAATGAAGTGACTCCACATGTTGCTTTAGTCAATTCACAAGATGCACCCAGTGTGAAACATCTAGTGGAAAATGCTGTTTGGCAGCTAATTCATGGGGATCAAGTTATAGTAAGGATCTATCATATCAATAACTTACCAGCATTATTAATTTTTAATGTAATGTCCGTCAGGTAGATTATTTCAATGATTGACATTAGACACGTATGTTTTATTTTTTACGGAAACGTAAAGTTTATTGCCGATTAATTTCGAAGATATAATATTGATTAGAAATATCCCATGACATCACTTTTAAGTACCATTTATGCGCTAAAATTACGTAGCTACTTCCCAATACTAAACTTTACTCGTTTTATCTAAATATTGTTTTCTTATACGAAAAATAAAGAAATACGTATCTAATATTTTTTCATTACTTAACTGACAGACTAATTAGATTTTTAATTTTCATACCCTGTCATCATCCCTATTATTCTTAATATTCTTCTTTTAATTCTAATGTTTAACACAAATGTATTCTTGTTTCCAGGATTACGATGACGATGAAGGAGTCATTACTCAAACCAAAAAGTTACGAAAGAGTCAATGCACTATGAAAGCTTTAAGAAATTGGTACAATACTAAATGTATGTCATCGCCAAGAAAGAAGAAGTCTCCGCAAACTAAAAGAACTCTGGTTATTATAATCCCTGATTTTGAGAGCTTCAACTGTAATGTTTTACAAGACTTTGTGATGATTGTCAGGTAATTTGACCATCAATTTTATGTGAAATATGTTGTACGGGATTTTCTTAATCAAATTACATCGCTTTAAATTTATAGTAATCTAGTAAGGTTCTCCTTCCGTGTAGTCGCGGTGGCCCGGAGGTTTAAGACGTCCGCTTCTCATGCATGAGATCGCGGTTTCGAAACCTACCAACGGCAAGTAAGGTGTGTTGGGGTAAGATCGGCGCTGGGGTAAGAACGTAGGAATCAAATATACCACTTATTTGGCCATATTTTTTAATGTTAGCCACATTGCCCGCAACGTCATTATGTTTCACCCCGCCTCGCAGTGATCGCTAGTCGCTCCGGCTACTCGGACGTGTACCACGCGCCGTTAGAGAAAACAATGTAAGTTTTATAAAATATTTGTTTATCCGATCTTTCACCTGCATTTTAATTTACATATTTTAGCAAAAGTATAGCTTATTTTGGATTTGTTTTGCCTAAATTCTAAGTTTTAAGCAGTGATAATATGATAAAACTCATCCAGATACGGCTACTACATCTGTAAGCTGAAATCCGGTGTTACCCATCACGAGTAAAGATCGGACAAAAATATCCGGTCTTATCCCGTTTCTAAATTGCCAGTGATTTTCAAACTTTTATTACACATCATTTTAAATATCTACTTAATGTATTCGTAATCGTTTTATTATGGCGCTTAAAATCCAGGGTCACACTGTTTGATTCTACAGCTATCTGTTTTCTTGATTACCTACATTGATTTTAAATGAATAGATACTTATAACAACAATTCATTTGCAGATGCCACGTATATACTCTAGAACCTCTTCGCGGGCCAGACCTATACAAAAGAATCGCTGCAATTCGTCATGCAGAAAATAAATATTATGGAGCTCTCCTATGCAGCCGCTTAAAAAATGTACGGCATACCTACATCCACACTTAGTAATTGCTACTAAAAACCAAAAATGTGTATTTTGATAGAGATTATTGTTATTGTTTTGATTTTTGTTTTCTAGATCGTTGTCATAGACGTTTCAGTTTAATAAAGATTTCAGTTTGATAATAGAAGATGTTTAACTCAATTAACCTGAAATGTCTACGAGAACTGTCAATTCTTTGATAAGTATAATTGTTTTGTTTATATTCCTTTTTTTCTATTGACGAATTTTAATTACATATAGTATTATAATTTTGTTCATTCCTTGTTAGTGATTTCTATATTTCATATTATTAGAATATAACGTTTTATGCTACTATTAATTCGTTTTAATATTTGAATATTCCGATTCCCTTCATTTCTCTACCAACCGCACAGTATTTCAGTTTTATAACGCTTAAATATTCGCTTACTTTTCCTTTTTGGTACTATGCTTGTGGGTAAAACCAAACTTTGAGAATCCTAATTTCTTTTAAATTTGGCATTTGGGGTAAGATCGGACAAATTACACACACAAAAAAATAATAGTTTGGTACATCTATGTCTGCAGTATTAGGTAAAATTTTTTGATGCCATGTTAAAGAACAGGAAAGATCGGATACATTCTTTTCATACACCTTGTGCTCCTAGCAATAGGACTAGTTTTAAATTGTTGTCCGAACTTACCCCTTGATAGCCAAATCGTCATTGCATTCACAAAAAATATGTTCAGATTTTACAGGCTTATAAAGCAAAAAGTATTGAGTGTTTATAAATAAATTAAATTTTAAATAACACTATGTTGAATCATTAGTGATTCCACTATTTTTCATCAATGTGCTGTGTACCAAATTTCAGAAAAAAAAGTTTTTGCAACATCCTTGCAAATATTCGAAAATCCGTCCGATATTACCCCAAGGCACCTTACCAATGTGACTTTTTTGTACAGTTATATGTACTTTCAAAGATTATCTAGACTCCACTGACAAACGGTACAAACGAAATCGCCAACCCGCATTGAGCAAGCATGGTGATTAATGCTCAAACCTTCTCCATGTGAGAAGGTACCTTTGATAAGCAGTGGCTATATATAGGTTGATGATGTGAAGGTTCTCCTTACTAGATTATTATTTAAAGTGCGTATAAAAGCGAGAATATCACAGCAACGTAGTGTTATAGGTATGGTGTTACAATGAGCATAGTTGATAATTTAAATCAGAAGTTATTTTGGTATCTTACTTAATCCGTTAAACATAATTTTCTGTATTTACAGTTCTTATGTATCAACAATGCCGATAGTATTCGTGTTCGGAGTGGCGACCTCAGTGTCGGCGTTACACAAGTCATTCCCCTACCACGTGTCGTCTAAACTACTGATCAAAGTGTTCCACTCACATGCATCACCGATTTATATGAATCAAGTAAGTTTTTTTTTATTATATTTTACACTAACGACTCGCCACGGCTTCGCACGGGTGCAATAGGCATGTATTATACATATAAACCTTCCTTACAAATTAATCTCTATTAAAAAAACCGCATCAAAATCCGTTGCGTAGTTTTAAAGATCTAAGCATGCATAGGGACAGACAGACGGCGGATAGCGACTTTGTTTTATACTATGTAGTGATGCTTTTGCCAGTGGCTTCTCCTGCGTTTCCCTGGGATAAAAGTAGCCTATGTGGTATTCCAGGTACACAAACGAATAAATAAACATACAAACTTTTGCGTTTACAATATTAGTAGGATTCCAATTAGCTAATAATCTTTATTATACGATCTGTCTACTGTATTAGATGAGTGAGCGAGTGAGCAAGTGAGCTTATAAGATATTAGCATGTCCAATGAACCAAACAAACAAATTCTTCAGCTTTATAATATTAGTACAGATTACTTGAATTGTTTCATAATATTAATACTTGTTTTTTTCTTAATTTCAGGTGTTAGAGGACATTTTCTTAACACACACAAGTCCTTTCCATTTGTCTGGCAAGGCGTTTGAACTGCTCACAGATGTGTTTCTTTTCTACGATTTTTCTGTCACAGGACTCATACAGAGTATTAAGGTATGTACTATCTACTATATAAAAATAAGTCGGGTTTTTCCTTCCTGACGCTATGAAGCACGAACCGATTTCCACGGTTTTGCATTCGTTGGAAAGGTTTCGGGCTCCGTGAGGTTTATAAAATATAAAACAAAAAAAAAAAATGTTTCTTCATCTTTTAATCACCAAACGAAATGTTACATAAAACGAAGCCACCTGGTGGCGAAACGGAGGTCGCCGGGGTTTGCTAGTATTGTATAAATTTTGTTTTTTAAATAAGTATTGTTTTTAAGTTATCAATGTATACTTAATTACCTAATCTTTATTTTCATGCATACTTTAGGGCTGAGGTTAGTATTATAATTGTGTGTCAATATGTCAGATTCTCTAGCCAGCTAGCCTTTTATTTGATTTAAATTTCCTCTAAATTTTTAGTGACCTTACCGCGACATCTTGGATGCCTTCGTAAACCACACTAAGTAAAACCTTCCTCGAGTAGACGCCTTTGTTTAATAGTAGATGCTTTTGTTCAATATTAGACGTATTCGTTTAGCCGTAGACTTTCATCTTCTTTCTTCATCTTAGCTCCAGTTTTAACATTAAATATTAATATTTCTGGTTCCAGTACTGCATGATGGAGCATTACTACGGCGACAATACAAAGTCACTTTGCTGCGACAGAGACAAACTCGAAGACGTTATAATGCAGCTTACTGCAGAAGATCTCGAAAACATACGGCAGCTAATGTCTTTCCGACCTTTCCTAGAAAAACAGGATTGTAAAACCAAGATCAGTCTGTTCAATGACGATGATTTCTTCAAAGAAGCTCTTTACAAGGAGATGAATAGATTGCATGATTATTTATATAGTTTCTATATGTGTTTGAGACTTCTATGTGTGTTCGTGAAGGACTTGCCAAAGAATATGCTTGGGAAATCTGTAAGTGTTGAATTAAATTAGTAGTAGACACACATATAGATGTATATTTATACGTCAACTTGACCTAGGACTAATATAGTTAAAGTAAATTGAACATGACATTATGGAGCTTTTATTTTTGCTAGTCAAACCAGTCTAATATCTATGGTATATATTAAATATACAGTATAACATGTATGGTAGTAATTTATTCTGGTTTGCAGTTTAGTTATTCTGAGGAGTCGAAAGGATCGCGTAGTGCCTAATCGACTTCTATAAGTAAATTAATAAGTTTAGCATGCAAAACTTTGTTGCCATTTACAATATCAACAATATCAATACAATAATTATAGTTAAAAGCACATTAAATAATATAATTAAAAGCACATTAAATAATTATAGTTAAAAGCACAAATGTCGTGGTGGCCCGGAGGTTTAAGACGCCCACTTCTCATGCATGAGGGTGCGGGTTCGAAACCTACCAACGGCAAGTACCAATGTGACTTTTTCCGAGTTATATGTACTTTCTAAGATTATTTAGACACCACTGACAAACGGTGAAGGAAAAACATCGTGAGGAAACCTGGACTTATAATTTCTAATTATAAGTTTGAAATCGCCAACCCGCATTGAGCAAGCGTGGTGATTAATGCTCTAACCTTCTCCGTGTGAGAAGAGGCTTTGCTCAGCAGTGGGCATTTATAGGCTGTTGATGAAAAGCACATTAGAAAAAAATCAAGGTGTTCTAATAAAATTCCTTATGCTGTTTCATTTTAGGTCCGTGAAATATACACGAAATGCGCCTCAGAAAATGTAACAGGCACGTCGGCGTTCAAAGACTGCTTGCAGCTATTAAAGTTTCAATCACAAGTGAAGTTGGTTGAAAATATAAAGAGTGCCTTGAAGATTGTCAACTCGTACTTACAAAATGCATCGCCAGTCAAACCGTTGAGGTCTACACTTTCAAAAAACAATTTTAATAACATAACATTGAGTGATGATCTCGGTGAAAACTTCGTCAAGTCTTTAAGAGTACATTTATTAACGTTTCTAAGACAAATAGAACATGCCAACACTGAAACGACAATCACCATGAGTGCAGTGTCAGACTCCGAAAATGCAGATGAAAATTTTCCTGGAAATAGATATAAGTTAAAAGAGGTCAGTTTCTTGCATTACCTTACTTACCTACTTTTCTATAAAGTTGTTGCAGGTACGATAGCTGAGCACTAGACTGCGGTTTTGATTCCTTGTCATATACATGATAAAAGTACTAACTGTTTTTAAGCGAACAAAGTCAATCCCATGATTTTTTGGATAAAACATTCAAAATGTTTGTTTCCGTGTTTCGAAAAACTCATGAAGGGGATAGATTTGGATCAAATCTCGTGAGATTTTTACAAAGAGACACTATACAGTAAAAATACATAGTGCGTGCCTGACGCAACATGTAAAGTATAATTATTTTGCCGTTTCTTGCCCACGCGCTATGACTTGGGCAAAGATCTCTGAAAATTATGTAAAAAATCTAATGGCAATACATACTTTAAATGATAGATGTTTTAAGACAGGTCTTAACAAAAAAGGTTCGTATTAGTAATGAAGGCAAAAAAGTGGTCCAATCATCTCTAACCTTTGTATGTGAGCACAAAAAGATGATTTCGTTTTCTTTTGGCAGATAGGTCATACGATGTCTTTTTTGTAGAATGCAATGTAAAAGGTTAAGTTTATGAATTATAATAATTATATTCATTGTAAATATCAAACGAAAGGCTTGATTGATAGAATAGTGTTCATTAAAACAATTGTTATGGGTTACTTATTAATTTCAGAAATTATTAAAAGCGACGAGATTGGACCGTGTCCAGTCCGAGTTTGAGATGGTTCGAAGCAGGTTCGTGAGTTACTTGGAAGAGATGTTCAGTAAGGGGCTGCAGCCGATGCAGGGACAACCCTTCCATGAAGTGCTGGCCTTCAGTGACGTCGCATCAGTACGGAAGAATATAGTGGGTGCGCCTCGAGCCGCCGTCCACACTGCACTCAGCAATCCTGTACATTACTTACAGGTCTGTCTCATCAAAAGCTATATTATGTTAACTTGTCTGCCTCAACAGTCCATCAGATCACCACAGATGGGGCCCAGTTGGGCTGTTGCTCGATGCGGAGCTCCGGAAGACATAATGGGTTGCCGGCGCTCCGGCTCCAAGAGCAGGAGTAGGAACGATTTGGTTTTTAGTCCGTAAGAGGGACACAAAAGAAATTATTAAATTCGGACAAGTAGTTCGAGAGATTAGCGCGATCAAACAAACACCAAACTCTTCAATTTATCTAATAGTAAGTATAAGATCAGTGTAGTTCCATGATAACACATTTCTTGTTCCTCAGTGCTCCTGCTGCCAGTTGCCGTCCTCGGACAATGTCATAGACACACTACCGGACGTATGTTTGGCGTACAAGTTACACCGTGAGTGTGGCAAGCACATCAACCTATACGACTGGCTGCAAGCATTCGCTGCAGTACTGAGACCTGATGATGACGACGAGCAACGACACAACGATCCTACTATACAGTGAGTTTCACTAGATGTTTTCGTTTTTACCAACTCCACATTGATTCAGTACAAACGTTATACCTGTAACAGTAATATTATTTTTTATGGGATAAGCCCGTAAACGAGCAGACGGCTCACCTGTTGGTAAGCAATCGGTGTCGCCCATGGACACCTGGAACGCCAGAGGCGTTACAAGTGCGTTACCGGTCTTTTGGGGATTAGCAGTTTGAAGAAAGTTAGGGATTCAGGGATTGGAGAGATTGGGGAGGGGGGGGGGGACTCACATGATGAACGAACGAAAAGCATGGCTAAGTGTAACACTTTTCTGGAAACTCCATCAAATCGGTTCAGCCAATCGCGAGATATCGCGCACAAACATACATACATACATACAGAGAGCTTAGTACTAGTTAGGTTTACGTTAAATGTAATCGAAACGAGAACGCGTTCGGCGCTTTGATTGGTTGGTTCATTGGCACTGGCCAATCACATCGCCGAACGCGTACTCGTTTCGAATACTTTAAAAAATCAAACTCGTACTAAGCCCTCTGTATGTGTGTATGTTTGGTCAAACTGAGAAGCTTTTTTTGAAGCATCATGGTACCTGACACTACGCCCTGAAGGTCTCAGTCTTCATCACTTCAAAAAAGAAGCTTTTCGAGTATTGGGTACTTGTCTTCATCAAAAATAAATTATTTCGACTGTTCAATACAATAAAATTTTAAAAAAGAATTACACTTTCATTAATTGATTTTATGACCAACTTAATTTTAGTATATTTCCAGCAAATTAAAAAAAATAAAGTATGCTGTTTGACGCTAAAAACGTGACGTCTCGATACACAAGCTCGTACAAAATTCATAAAAAACTGTTTGTAGTTTTTGAAAATTCGAAAAAAGTATTGATTTTTACTAGTTGGTTTACTCCAAGGCTGTATAGGCCTCCCTGTAATTGGGTTTTGAAGCGGTTATTACATCCAGCGGGTTCCTGCGAAATTGGTTGGGTCGTTTATCGAATATAAAAATCTGTAATACAAACTAGTTCAAGGGTAAAAAAAACAAATCATTTATGTTAAAAATTACAAATATTTCATTGTACATAAGTCTTCACTACCTTCACCTTCAAACCTCAATATCATTATTTTATTAATTAATTTAATAATATCATTTGTGAATCGACGTTACTTACATATTAGTTCATAAAATATGTAAATAAAAAGATTTATATTTCTTGCTTGACTACTAACATACCAATATAATCACGATATTAGTATGTGCTACTTGTATCCATGCGCATTCAAGTTGAAGATGTCACAAATAGACTGTGTTTTTTATACAAAAAGAATCAGTCTACATTTTGCCAGATTATCATACATTTATTTGCATAATCACAGTATCGTTGGACATTATATCAATCGTTTAAAATACATTATATAGTGGACAAAAACCGCTTTTATTACATAGAAACATATATTTTGACCTTTATATTAATTGTCGTGTTTTTTTTTATGTTTTTGGTTACATTTGTTGATTGGTCGAAAATGAAACTGCTAATTAAGGGATAACAAATTCGATGTTCGTAATGTTTCCTTGTTGTTTGTTATAAGCAGTACGACTATTATTCAATAAAATAGTTTTAATTAATTATCTATCTATTTAACTAAAATAATTCTATTTAACCAAATATATGTATATTTGGTTACAATATCCCCTTTGTGAAATAAATGGCGTGATGGTATATTTGTTATTTTTGTTCAAGGTTACGCTTCACTCGCGCTGTAGCTGAACTACAATTCCTCGGATTCATAAAGTCATCAAAAAGAAAGACTGACCATGTAATGAGATTGACTTGGTGATTTTATTGTTCTGTCATTTTTTCCTAATTTATTAAACAATTTTTGAAATTATATTTTCTTTTTTATTTACACGTGTCATCCATTAGTCCAGTTCCCTTATTTTTTGTGTGTAGGTACGGGTTTAGAATGTACATACATACGTGAGAGGTCGGCGGTGAGGTCACGTGGCAGAAAACATCGACGTTGGGAAAAAACTTGCTAAAACAAATAGAGGTGGATTTAGCACAGTATTGTGACCAAGCTAAGTCGATTCCGTCTTAATAAATATCTATATAGTATAGTAATATGAAGTTAATGATTACACAGATGATTTCAGAAAAGGTCCGTTTCCTTTTATTTATACACACATACACAGTCAGAGCTGCGTATGCGCATAAAGTACAGTGTTTACCGTGTTCCCGTCGGGTTTTTCTTCTTCCATGTATCCATTTGTGACTTAGTACATTAATTAAAATATTATATCCATTCATTAGATAACTAAATCACCCCAGATGGTTTTCAGACGGTCCATCTGAACATACATACTTAAATTACCCAGGAAACAATGAAAAATACGACTTACTTACTTACAAATATTAAAATAAAGATGAATACCTACAAGTGGCCTGCTCAGCCCAGTAAGAAACTACTGCGAACAAAAAAAAAATGAAATCGGTCCAGTCGATGCGATGACCAAGGAAAATTGGGACAACATAATAACACGCCTTTTATCCTTGAAGGGGTAGGCAGAGGTGCACATTACGGCACTTAATGGCACTTTACTATGTAACACCCTCTTTTCACTATTCGTAATATGAGTCCCATGTAATAAGGGGTGAGCCTATTACTATATACCGGGCACAATTCCAGACTCCGTGCTACTACTGAGATTTTTTTTAATACTTTGCTCGACCTGGGAATCGAACCCTAGACCCCTTGCCCTGCAGCCGCACTTGCGATCACTTGGCCAACGAGGGAATTGGGATTCATTTTTTATGTAAGATAATGTAGATAGGTACTTATCTACTTAGCCACTGTCTTCAAGGACAGTTGTCGAAACAAAGTAACATAGTCGAGGCACTGTTAAATGTTCAATACAAATGCAATGATTACATGTTTTTTTTACACAATCATGAAGTTCATGACGCAAAACCTTTAAGTCTAGTAACGACAAACAAGATAGATGTGGTAACAGAGAATATATTTGTTTTACCTATATACCTTGTTTTTGTTCGCACCAAATGAATGTTAACTTTACAGCTGATTTGTTATTATGAGCTGGTATTTTATGAAAGGATTGTCAAGATCATATACTTTTTATCTATGGTATGTAAAAGGAGGTTTTCCTTTTATACTATTATATAAAGCGGAAGAGTTTGTTTTTTGTTTGTTTGTTTGAACGCGCTAATGTCCGTAACTACAAGTCTGATTTGAATAATTCTTTTTGTGTTGGATAGCGCATTTATCGAGGATGGCTATAGAATATAAAACATCACGCTACGACCCATAGGAGCTGAGCAGAGCGTGTCAAACCGCGCGGAAGTAGCTAGTTGCTAATATGTACAAACAAATTCTTGTTAATACTTACTGACCTTGTTATGTAATCAGTTGAATTGAAAGCCCAGAATTTGAGCATAGGGTTTTGTGGTTCGATTCTGGATTCGGGAAAAATGTGTTAGAACGGATTCTGGTTTATGCTCAGTGTAGACAGTTAGGAATAGCGTCAATTATTGCTCAATTTAGTTATTTTTGTTCACATCTGTTTACCTACCTTTGGTAAACAAAAATAATGATGCGAAAGTGTTTTATTAAGCATGACCTAGTGTTAGTAATTACGATAAATAGGTAACTACCTATATACAATTCAATCAACGAGTGATTAAATCATTTTATTTTTAACAATGACAAGTTAGTATGATTCAAAATCAGAAATCTTAAAAATAATCGCATATTCACAGATAATCAAACCTACTGAATACATTTCGTAGAAGTCTGCTATGTTCAAAGTTCAAATATTGCGTAGGGTATTCTAAACGTGTCGATCGCAGACATAAATTTAAATAAACGTAAACATTGGTTAGCTAGTAAGATTGATGAGTAGGTTGTATGACTGTATCCGGGATTTGACTGGTTTCTCAGTCGTCGTTGAGACGGAACCGAGCTAAATTATTGACTTGAAGGAAACCCCGAAGGTGTTATTAAGATGAACTATTTTTTTTTAATTCTTTTCACTAGTTTAAGTATGGTTATTATCATAGAATCTAAAAGACTGCCTCGTTGGCCGAGTTGTCGCAAGTGCGACTGCCGGGCAAGGGGTCTCGGGTTCGATTCCCGGGTCGGGCAAAGTATTACTGGGTTTTTTAAAAATCTCAGTAGTAGCACGGAGTCTGGAAATGTGCCCGGTATATGGCAATAGGCTCACCCCCTATTACATGGCACTCATAACATAAATAGTGAAAAGTGGGTGTTACTTCTGTGTGCACCTCTCTCTACCCCTTCGGGGATAAAAGGCGTGATGTTATGTTATGTTATGTAATCTAAAAGAATCTGTATGCTTCCAATGCAATGGAACAAAATTCGGTTATGGAGGAGAATCTTTTCTGCCTCTTTATTTTTACGTAACGTAGACGTCATGTGAAAATCATTGAATGACTGCTCCCGCCTTAGTGTCAGACTCTTACTGACTAACTCCTGCACGTCGAGCCGGAAACCCGGTAACCCGTTAGGTTCTCCGCGACTCCGAATTGGCATCGGCCCTGTTGGGCCCCATCTGTGGTGGTCTGATGGCTCTTTGAGGCGCGCGCGGAAAGCGAAACGCCGTACGCTCGGGTAAGAGTAGTGGGTGAGCCTGTCTGGTATACCTAAGCAATAAGACGAGTAACTATATAACTACTTGTGTGTGTTGGTATACCTATACCTTTTGCTATCTACTCTACTCAATCTACTCCGCGATTTGATTCTGGCAACTCTTACTCAGCTCCTTTGTTTATTACTTTAATTAGTTATTACCATTTTATTAAAGTAATTTACACTTAGCTTGGTGTTGTATAAATAATATTAGGTATTATCACTTTTTTCCGAAACAACCAACAAACAACACATATGTGGCTAAAATCTTCAATTTATAATAATGATTCAAACCTGACTACAATTACAAAGGTGCGTTTAGATGCACGTGTCAATATAACAAAGACATGTGTAGGTATCAGTGTCATCTAATAGGTACATATCACGCTAATTGTTTTCTAAGAATGGGTAGGCATGGGTTAGGTGTAGGTGTAGGTAGACGATAGATGTGGACTAAAACTACTAGGTACGTAATACGTATAGGTATAAGCTAGGTACAGGTAAGGCACAATTTCATCATAATCATTTATTTATTTGTAACAGGTGGTGTTATATGGATGTTCATAAGTTAAAAACAGGTTTAGTTTAAGGAATATTAATATTATTAATATTCCTTAAACTAAACCTGTTTTTATTGCCATAAATATTTGAATTAATACAACGAAACAAAGTTATTAAATAACTTTTGACTTGACTATTCTTGACTACAACAAGAATGTCAATTTAAAAATCAAGGTCATATGAAATTGAAAATTAAACAAATTCACAAATATTCACTTAAAAAATGTATATATATGTGAAACAATTTAAATTAAGTAATTTTTAATAATATCAGTTATCACTGTAAAATCCTATATCTAATGAGATCAACATCTTATAAAATTACTATATATAATTATACATATATAATTTATAATTATACATATTCATCCATTATTTCTGTTAGTTTAAATGTAATCCATTATTATCGTTTAGTCCGTTTCCAAAATACTGGATTATGTTTCTTCTTACTTACCCTTCAGAGTATTAAAAAAATACTTCTATTAAACTAGGAATTGAATCTCAAAACACTTGTTCGAGAGGCACATTAGACAAATGGCATTAACGCTAATAGAATAGAAAAGTTAATGTGTACGAACGAATACGACCGGAATAAGCTACGATTATTAGATGCGCTACATTTGTCTAGCCGGGCGGTCGCAGTTCAATTTTTAATTATGAAATCCACTTCTAGATAAAGTGGTTAGAAGCATCGACACTTTTTTTCAATGTAACTGCAAGCTTAGCAATCAGTTTCATGTTTGTTTGCTACTCGGGACTAGCATGTAGCCGATGGTACAGAGGCCTTGTTGTTTAATTAGTAGTTAATAAAACACTGACATTAAACACATCCTACTACCTACCTGTGTTGTAAAAAAAAACCGACCTTGAATTATAATTTCACGATATAAAGTATGGATCTGACCTCTGGAAAGGTTAAGAGTACATCACTTTTATTCGTGTCGTCAATACTGCGGGACAAGTTTTAGCCTATTTACACCTGAGTTATTTTCAGATTAATAAAACTAGAATCGGAGAGGTATTTTTTGTCGTCTGACCTTTTCGATATTAATTCGTTGGAAACGTCTGGGGTCGTCTTTTGTTTTATTCCCATTTTTTAGTTACTCGTTTTGTTTTAGTTGCTTGTTCCAAGTGACTTGGACAGAATATTTGATACTTCGACTAGGTGTCGATTTATAAGTTGTTATAGGTAGTTTTCATTTTCAGATTACCTATCACATGGTCACATGTTCGTTTTCTTTCTACATGGACTTAGTGACAATATTATTTTTTTGGTTAAGTGCTCCCAAGAGCGATTGCTGAGCAAAATATGTCGGCTTCAGTGCCTGAACCTAATATCTACAGTACAGTACAAAAAGTCTGTACGCTTTACCGCTTTACTGTTGACTTTACTGTTACAGTAACAAAGCTTAAGATATAATTATTTTTATTTATAAACTACGTTTATAAAAACCGACTTTACACCCCTCTTTTTTAAAGTCGGTTAAATAAATATAATATAAACCTTCTCCTAAGTGTGAAAAAATCTTTTTCTAAAACTGTATCAAAATCGGTTCACTCAACGTGAGATAATCGCGTACTAACATCAATACAAGTCAAACTGAAAACCTCTTATTTTACACATAACGTCACGCCTTTTATCCCTGAAGCGGCAGGCAGAGATGCACATTACGACACTTAATGCCACTGTACAATGTAACACCCACTTTCACTAGGTAGGTACTTATGTTATGAGTCCCATGTAATAGGGGGTGAGCCTATTGCCATATACAGGGCACAATTCCAGACTCCGTAATTCTACTAAGTTTTTCTTAAAACCCAGTAATACTTTGCCCGACCCGGGAATCGAACCCGAGACCCGTGCCCGGCAGTCGCACTTGCGACCATTCGGCCAACAAGGCAGTGTCTTTTTTTTGAAGTTGCTTAACAAGCTTAAAAAGTAAGCAGTAGCTGTAGCTTACATAGCCTACCTGTAACATCAGAGGAATAACAAGTAGGTTGGGCTCCCTGAAAATGATGGGCAAACTAATAGGTATAAACTAAGCATCCAGAGCTGTCATTTATCAAAGGAAATGTAACAGCATTACGTCCTAATATCGGCCCGAGCGTACGGCGCGTCGCGTTCCGCGCGCGCCTCAAAGAGCCATCAGACCACCACAGATGGCCCAACTGGGCCGATGCCCATTTGAAGTCGCGGAGAACCTAACGGGTTACCGGGTTCTGGCTCGACGTGCAGGAGAAGGAACGGGGTGGTTTTTAGTTAGTAAGAATCAGACAGTCCCTCCCGCCTCACCCAAGCGGCAGCAGTCATTCGATGATTTTTCACCCTTAAAAAAAGTGTTTTGTAAGAGGACGGTACTTCCCCACTGGAGCCAGTCCATTCAAGTTACATAAAATTACGCTCTCTACAGTTCGTATTCAAATTCAAATTCATTTATTCACATTTAAATAGAGTTATTACATTTGATGGTTTTCATATTAAAAAATATGTAGAATAATATTAAGAATGTAACATTCTTTGTTTTATAGTCTATTTAGCCTACTAAAGACATGTGAAGTCAAGCTTAATACATTGAAATAGAAAAGATATAGTTGTACATAATTATAACCAATAATAATCCAATTAAATTCGTATCGAAGTTCAATACAAATATGAAGGTAGATGTTTTATCTCGCTTAACAATGTCAATTATATACTCTGTGGTCAAATACAGTTAAATAATAAATTTAATAAGTATCTATAATAAAATAATATACCTATTTACACCCAAGCTCATAGTAGTTTTTAGATTATAATTATTGTTGAAAACATTAGTTTATAGAGTAAATCATTTTCTTAAGAAGTAGGCTCTTTAAGCACTTTCTTAAACTTGAATAATAACAATGGAATACCAACAATAAAGGTTTTTATGCAACGTTTTTGATATAGAATTACAAGTCTGTTGAGTTTCCCCATAATATTAACTTAAATCGTAACACGGAAGCTCCATAACCATGGTATGCTAACAATACTGTGTGTTGGGTTGATGTAGTTATGAGTCTATTTAGCACGTTTTTTGGGATAAGCCAGTAAACGAAAAGACGAAACACCTGATGGTAAGCAATCGAAACACGGAACATATGGAACACTAGAGGCGTTATAAGGGCGTTATCGTACTTTTGGAAATAGGGAATTAGAAGATTGTGGGGGATTGAGGAGACTGGGGAGAGGTGATAATTGGGCCTCCGGTAACCTCACTCACACGACGAAACACAATGCAAGCGTTGTTTCACGTCGGTTTTCTATGAGGCCGTGGTGTCACTCCGGTCGAGCCGGAGTAAAGTAAAGAGTTAACTTTCTTACAAACGTCGTCAACATGTGCTTTCCAATCCAAATATTTGTCCATTTAAAATTACTGGTGACAAAGGGGTAGGTATGTGAAGGATAAAGTAATACAGAAAATTCTCAGTGTTGATAACATGACAATAATATGCTAGTTAAAATGCAAGTTTGGTTAAATTAATGCATCAATAAATTAATTCATGGATCTGATGAATCCCTGGAGATGCATGGGATTATAAACTTTGAGCTCGTAGGATCAAGGAATATATTTGGTTATCATGAGGAATTTATGCTCATAATACACAAATATAAATATTAATTTATACGATCCGTTTTTTCCAATAGGCCAATCGCACGAAGCGCCTTTTATTAAGATAATGCAAATATTCAAACTATTTTTGTAAAATTTATAAACAAAACCAGCCAGGGCTAAATTGAACTTGATCACAGAGTGTTCCGTACACGGTTGTTGTAAATTGAATTATAATTTAACTTATTTTACACTATTCAAATTTTTTCAATGATTCCCGAACATGGAGACTCCACAAGACACGGATAACTAATTTCACAATTTGAGTACCCCCCTCGAATATTCTCATTCCTCTAGAAACAGTATCTGTGTTAAAAATAAGATAATACTATCTACTTGCCACATTTCATAGTTCTTGGTAAAGCACTCCCCGTTATTAACCCTATAACCGTTACTAATTCCCTTAAAGTTGTCGAAAAATGTCTCAACTTGTCAATGGTAGTTGAATAATAATATCACGTAGAACCTACATCAGTAACTTAAAATAAATACGTGCCATCCACACTGGGCGTGAACGCGTACTAGCACACTAATATAATATTCCTAAATTTACTCGTAGTGTATGTGTGTGGTGTTTGTAGGTACACATATGCTTATGTCTGTGAACATTGATGACCGCATCCATAATATCGACATCGTCTGTTTGCTGTCGTTTGACATTACGATAGATGCTGGAGAAATGTATAAAAGATAATGATGCGTATGAAGGTGCATCAGTCGCCCATCAGCCACCGAACCAACCTACCAAAATGAAATCGGTACGTTCTTAAATTGTTTATCTATTTTTAATTTAAAAACAGTATTCTTATAATTGTCATTGTACTATGGAGTTCTCTTGTTGGACACATAGTTTAATTTTTGGCAATTTTTTTCTAAATCTGTGATACTATGTGTGTAGTGCCTTTTATTTTCATTGTACAATATATTTTGTCATGAAGCTTTTTAAATTAAAAACTTAGCAAGTGTTTAAAACTTAAGTTTTATCTTTTTAACTTAAAAAGATTCATGCGACCATTTGATGCAACCAAGCTTTACGTTGTGGGTTGTTTCCAGATTATCCTCGTCGCCCTCGCCCTCGTGGCTGTAGCCGTGGCAGTCCCCGTCGTCCCTGAGGAGGTCAAGATCGTTCGGTCTGATTACCAGCAGCAGCCTGAGGGTAGCTACCAATTCGGGTAAGCACTTCTATAGTTTTTTTCTCCCATAAAATAAGTAAAATGGCTAACTTTTTGGTATAAATAAAATATGAATAGGTATAATTTTATTCCGTTTTGCAGAAAACAAAATTTGTAATTTCATTAAAATTTATGTAAAATAATTTTGATAATGTTAACAGATATGAAGCTGAAAATGGCATCGTCCGTGACGAGGTCGGTGAATTGAAGGAAGCTCTGGATGAGGAGAACAAGCCCCACAAGGTCGTTGTTGTCCGCGGATCTTTCAGCTACCCCGGAGAGGACGGCAAACCCATTTCCATCTCTTACTTCGCTGACGAGAGCGGATTCCACGCGGAAGGAGACTCCATCCCCAAGGTCCCCGCCAGGAGATAAGCTATCAAATACGACGCGCAGATGAATGATCAATTGATTAATAAACAAATCAATTAATTGTTTGTTCATCAGCTACCTGTGAAGGACCTGATAACGTTTAAGGAATTTATCTAATGGTTACGATGAGGCAAGAGTGTGGTGCGGAAGATCATCCGCGCTTCCCTTTTGTTGCTCGTTGATTCTTGTCACTCACTGCCATATTTTTGTACGTTTTTATATTATTTGTTGTGATGTAGCAATTAAATTTCAATTGAAGTCTAATATCTGTTTTATTTTACTTAATCGATTACTACATTCCGAAAGGTTAAAACTGTATTTGTTACTCAACAGCTGGTTGTTTTAGTAGTCTCAAATAAATATTTATTTAGCAATCATTTGAATATCAGACAAATATTACTCTCCACTTAGTGGTGTGGTGTGACGGTTGGGGGTCTCTCATAAACTGCTTTTCCTCAATTCATATTTGTCTGCTGTGGATAGGTCTGTTCTTGTGTGACAGCTAGGTACTCAACAATTGACCTTTAATCATTTTAAGCTCTGTGAAGGCTATACTTACCTAATATTTGTCTCTCTGCATTAGGTATCTTGCAGTAATGTTCTGTCAAAATACAGAAAAAATAAAATAAATAGAATCGCTAATACTGTTTAACCATTTTTTTTCTACTCTACGAGCAAACATAAAATAGGGAAATTAATATTAAAAAAATGTGAATAATACCTTAATATAGGGTAAAGTTCATGCAAAACACTTGGTAGTTTTTGTGTCTTCCCAAAGCCGTTGAACTTCACTTTTGTAAGAAATAGATATTACATTCTTAGATTCAATTCGAAACCGACATAAAATGATATCAAATTTTGACATTTGGAAACTTTTCAAGTTTAATTTAATTTATGGTTTGGTTTCATCCCTTAAATTCTGTTGTTAATATAACCTCAATATAACTTTAGCTTGAACTTGTCGTACTTATTAGTAATTGGCCGCAACAAGGCGTACTTTTATTTTCTAACGATTGTCCGTAAAATCATAACTACCAAATTACATGACTTAAAAGGTGTTATAGTGAAGAATAATAATAAATAGGAATGGGATAAAAATAACGCGAAAATTTCTAATCAAAAAAGACAAAAGAGCTTAAGAAGCATAGTTTCAGTAATGTACCTACTATTATTATATGGGTATAAGAGTATTCAAAGTCAATGTCAAAGCACTTATTTGAATTAATCCTTAATTAGGTACCTACCTAGTTTTGGAACGTCAAATTGAATTGTCAGTGAAACTAGGTGTAGATATTATTAAGGAATCTCATTATTGTATAATTCCGAGCTTATTAGCAATAAAAAGTGTGGAAGCGTACATAATGTATTGGAATGCGCACGAGACGGTTGGCGGTCAAGGTCACATCACTGTCTGCATGGCAAGCGATAATCTTGTACGTGTGTGCATTTTAACAACTAGTCGAATGTTGAGTCTTTACACATTAGTAACGAGTCCTGGATTTTAGAGGGTCTTCGGTACCAGTTGCTATAGTTCGCTCCATGTTACAAAGGAGTAACCAATTTAGTGGATCTACCACAATGACATGATATAAATACATTAAGAAACCCTTCATTTTTAAAATCAAAATATTTATTTATTTATTTTGATTCAGATTTATTCATATCTATTGCATACTAGCTTCTGTCAGCGGCAGTAAAAAGTAGCCTATGTATAACTGCAGACCTTAATCTACCTTTTATTCCGGTCTTTCCAGCCGTTTTGATGTGTCTGAGTAACAAAAATATACACAAAACACACAAATAACAAATTTTCGCATTTGCAATAGCGGGCCAAGCTAATGGGGATGATGACAGGGTATGAAAATTAAAAATATAATTAGTCCGTAAGTTAGGTAATAAAAAAATATTAGACACGTATTTTTTTATTTTGTCGTATAATAAAACAATACTTAGATAAAACGAATCAAAGTTTAGGAGTGGGGGCTAAAACGTCATTTCTTAGTATAAAATGTACTGAGAAGTGACGTCACGCGACATTTCAAATCAATATATCTTCGAAACTATTCGTTTCTGTGAGAAAATAAAAAATACGTGTCTAATGTTTTTAAATAATCTATCAGACGGACATTAAAATAAAAATTAGTCGTCTACCCCCACGATTGGCCCTACCGTTACAGCGTACATACATTCGACAAACTTATATTTGAATTTGGTACAATAATTATGTCTAGAGATCGATCCACACAAAAAATGTAGTAAATTTTCCTGTTTTCTTAACATTTCCCTTCACTGTCTCATTGGCCGAGTGGACGCAAGTGCGGCTGCCGGGCAAGGGGTATCGGGTTCGATCCCCGGGTCGAGCAAAGTGTTACTGGTTTTTTTAAATTTCTCAGTAGTAGCACGGAGTCTGGAATGCCCGGGATATGGCAATAGGCTCATCCTTTATTACATGGGACTCATAACATAAATACTGAAAAGTGGGACTTACATTGTATAGTGGCATTAAGCACTGTAACGTGCACCTCTGCCTACTCCTTCGGCGATAAAAGGCGTGATGTTATGTTATGTTCCCTTCACTGATCTGCTTCTATTAATTGTAGCGTGATGAAAATTGTACCAGAACCAGCTCAAGCTCAGGAGTATAAAAAGTAAACGTGTCAAGTTTCGTTATAATCCGTCGAGTCAAACAGACAGACAAAAATTGATTGCATTTTGGCGTCGATCCCTTATCACCTCCTGATAGTTATTTTGGAAATATATTTCACTAGCTATTGCCTGCGACTTTGTCCGCGTAGAATAATGACATCTGGCAGAATTCATCAGAATCAAAAAATAAGTAATCCGGAAGGGATTTTACCAGTACAGTGCCGTTTTTGTAAGGTTTTATTAATAAAAACTATTCTATCTACTATTGTAGTACCGAATCTGTCTAAAATAAGTTCAGTGTTAGAGAGAGATAGAGAATCCCGACGCTTAAGCGCAAAGTTTTCGTTCCCTTAGAGGTCTTTCATAAAAAGTATCATGTAGGTATTGTTTCCCAGGTCTCAAACTATCGTTTTACCGAATTTAAGTACCTAAAAAAGATTCAATGACTAAGAAGATTTATTCAAGGGTGGAATCGATCAAAATCTTTTCTTAAGGGATGTCTACACCATCTATGTACCTGTATAACGAATTTCAACTCAATCGGTTTAAAACTGACAAAGTTTCATGCAAACTTTCATCCCCTATTTAACACCCTTGGGGTAGAATTGATCAAAATCCTTTTATAGGGAATGCCTACGTTATAATATCTACTTACATGCTGAATTTAAACCAGATCAGTTTAAAACTGACAAAGGTTCTTACAACCTTTCATTCCCTATTTTACCCCCTTGGGGATGGAAATAATCAAAATATTTTCTTAGCGGATGTATGTCATAATATCTACTTGCTTGCTAAATTTCAGCACGATCCGTCCAGTGGTTTGGGCTGTGCCTTGATAGATTACTATATCAGTCAGTCAGTCATTCAGTCAGTCAGTCAGTCAGTCAGTCAGTCAGTCAGTCAGTCGGTCAGCCAGTCAGTCAGTCAGTCAGTTAGTCAGTCACCTTTGAATTATATATATTTAGAAGATATACAGAATTGACGTCTCTACAGATTTATTATAAGTGTAGAATAAATGGATGTTCATATAGAAGATGAGGGATGTGTGACTCATTTTATGGTCACACGATGGTACGCCAGAAATGGTCTATTTGAAAGATAGGGTTACCTTATAGGTGTTGATGGCGACCATTGGAGTGGATTTAGTGGGACTTATTTTAACTCGTCGAGTACCATATTTATAGACACAATTAAAGAACAATAGGTTGCGGTCACCGGTGACCGCTTGGTGTTTGACAGTTTAAGCTTGGCGCCTTTTGAATATTTTCCCTATTACCAAAAAAGGTAAAACAATCAATTGCCGCGGCATTTGTTCATCTGTAAAGGCTCTTATTGTTAAGTATTTAGGTAGTCTTAAACTAAAGCATCGAATACGTATTAATATTCAAATCCTTAACTAATTGAAAATTAGTTGTATTACAAGTTTAAGTCTTCTATTTTGTTTTAAAAGTCTAGTTTAATAAAAAACAAATAAAATTAAAATGGTATTTAATATTATATCTATTCTATGAAACTTATTAACATAACATCACTTGCTAGTCATATTATTAATAGCTTCTGCACGCGGTTTCGCTCGCGGTCTCGTTGGATAAAAGTAGCCTATGTAAGTATTACTCCAGATCATTTCTTTACAGTACAGTATTTATTACTGCAATATAATTGATTAGATTGCTAACCCGCAATGAGCAACCGTGGTGATTAATGCTCAAACCTTCTCCGTGTGAGAAGAGGCTTTGCTCACCATTGGGCACTTATAGGCTGTTGATTTTTTTTTATGGCATAAGCCAGTAAACGAGCAGACGGATCACCTGATGTAAGCAATCGGCGTCGCCCATGGACACCTGGAACACCAGAGGCGTTACAAGTGCTTTACCGGCCTTTTGGGATTAGGAGTTTGAGGATCGTTGGGGATTCAGGAATTGGGGAAATTGGGAATGGGGAGGGTAATTGGGCCTCCGGTAACCTCACTCACACGACGAAACACAACGCAAGCGTTGCTCCACGTCGGGTTTTTGTGAGGTCGTGGTATCACTCCGGTCGAACCGGCCCATTCGTGCCGAAGCATGGCTCTCCCACAATTGATGATGATGAATTGATTAAAAGTCTGTACCTAATAGTTAGTGTTACCTCGAGAATAGTACACAATATTATGTTCATTCCTGATTTATAATTTGTTTTGTTGAGTCTTAATTTATATGTTGTGTTCATTTTGCTGAACTCAACATATAAATTCTCAAATTCTAAATTCTTTATAATTATTAACGAAATAATATTTCTGACTCAAACATTTTTAATTGAAAATTTCTCAAATTGTTATAAAAGTTTACCAAATTATTAAATTTTTACGTTCGTAGTTTTTGTGTGAACTTGCAGTTTTTATTTTTTCTACTTTTGTTCATATTTGCATACCAATTTCAGGTTATACCTATTAAACATTTTAATATCAACTTAAAAATACCAAATCGCTGCATGCACTATCAACAAACGAATCCGGATTAGCAATGTTATATTAAGCTCGACATTGCATTAGAAGGGGGAGAAATGTATGTATATAAGCTTAAATGACGTTAGGACTGACATCAATCGCACAGCTGCAATCGAATACAACATATCAAAATGAAATCCGTACGTTCGTTTTTAATATCTATTAAATAACAATCTACACAATTTTGAAATATTACTAAACTTTGTTTAAAATTACATTGCAAAGCACTGTGTACGGTGATTGACTTTCATTGCTACACGCTCTGTCACAGAATAGCAACATAAATTAGTAACATAATGGTTTTGTATTTCTTTGGGCAAGTGAGAGTTTGGGATTTCAGTGTGTCTAAAATTGTTTAAAAAAGTATTTTTAAATATTTTAACAATACGGTTTTTGTACTACAGATGATTATCGTCGCCCTCGCCCTCGTGGCCGTCGCCGCCGCTATCCCCGCCGACGAGCCCATCAAGATTATCAGTGCTAACTACGACCCGAAGCCTGACGGCGGTTACAACTTTAAGTAAGATAATTATACATATTAGCATAGTACTGAAGAAATATTAAGTAGTAAAATTTTATAACCTTTAAAATACTTAAGGTGTACTAAACAAAAAAATCATAATTTACGTATCACTTACAGATTCGAAACCGAGAACGGTATCAAACGCGTGGAAGAGGGTTCGGTGAAGGACGTTGTTGACGAGGAGAACAAGCCCCACTCAGTCGTCGTTGTCCGCGGTTCTTACTCGTACGTCAACGCTGATGGACAATCTGAAAACATTGACTTCGTCGCTGACGAGAACGGTTACCGCGCAGAGGGACCTTCCGTCCCCAAGGCCCCCGCCAGGAGATAAGCTACTACTATCTTCTCCTCGATTTTAATTATACTTCGATAGCTGTATTGATAATGATCTGTTGTGCCTAGTGACTTTGTTATCGTTTAAGTTTGCCAGTCAGACGGGAGCGCGCGGTGGTGCTACTGCCACCCTTTCTTCTTAGCGTCCCTTGTTATTTTATTTTTACCTGTTGAATTTTATTGTAATGTGATCGCAATGTTAATGAATGAAAATGAGAAGACCGAAATTTTTCGTATATTTTTCAATGATTTAAGCAAACCACCTTATTTCTAAGAATAATTTTCAAAAATATTAGTGGGTCTTAATGACGAGTACTGGAACCATTTTTTTCATACCTAAGCAATTATTATAAAAAGTTTAATCCCACCAAAACATTCTGTAAAATACTAGCCAAGTTCGATGGAGCTGCTAGTTTATCCTCTAAAAAGTAATGAAATATAACAAAGTCGTGCCAAGTCTAAGGTTCCTTATTGTGATTTCGTTATTATTATAGTTAGTTAATGTTGTGTGACTTTTCACTTCTTTCTGTAGAAATGTTTATTAATTTTTTTTATTTGATTATTGTTTTCCTTTTTAGGAGTAGTTTTTTTATTATTACAAATCTTTCTTTTCTTTTTTCCGCTTCTGATTCTTATACAGTAGCAACAGTTTTTCGTATCGCCCATTCGCCTTCACTATTATAGCAAAACTAGCTGTTACCCGCGACTTCGTCCGCGTAAAATAGCGACTTCTGTATAAATTAGGTTTTTAAATTAGTCTTTGCCAAGGTATATTCTACGGCTGTCGGTACGGCATGTCGTGGTGGCCCGGATGTTTAAGACGCCCGCTTCTCATACATGAGGATGCAGGTTCGAAACCTACCAACGGCAAGTACCAATGTGACTTTTTCCGAGTTATATGTACTTTCTAAGATTATTTAGACACCACTGACAAACGGTGAAGGAAAACATCGTGAGGAAACCAGGACTTATAATTTCTAATTATAAGTTTGTAATCGCCAACCCGCATTGAGCAAGCGTGGTGATTAATGCTCAAAACCTTCTCCGTGTGAGAAGAGGCTTTGCTCAGCAGTGGGCATTTATAGGCTGTAGATGATGATGATGATGATGATTCTACGGCTGTACGACTGTAACAAACACCATCACAATCGATTCAGTACCTAGGTTATATTGATTGAGAAATGAATTTATTTTCGTGGTTTCAAAAGTAATCAATCCTACAGAGGTTTTACCCGTACAGTGCCCGTCCCATGAGGTTTCAGTGATAAAAACTATTCTATGTTTGCAAATCAACGTTGTATTGCATTTCAATCAAATAGTAGATATATGATTTTAAACTCACAGTTACCGGTCTTGTGACTTTTTCGGGTTGAAAACTTTTAGATGTCCTTTCCCGAGTCTTAACCTATCGCTTTACCGAATTTCAGCAAATGGGTTCAATGCTTTAAAAGGTAAGACTTTATTTTAACGTCTTTGGTCCTGGTATTTCAGCGCATAGTTTCCGTCATTTTGGGATTTGCTCTCTCTTATAATGTGACCTGATATGTACCGGTGCGACGTGCGATACTATTGCAAATTTTTAAATAAAAAATAGGTATTCTGGCATTAGGTTACTTGATATTAATGTTGACTTTATACATCCCTTTGTTCTATTGTCCATAATTTCCATAGCGTGATTAATACCACTGCTTTGTTGGCCAAATGGTCGAAAGTGCGGCTGCCGGGCAAGGGGTTCGATTCCCGGGTGGGGCAAAGTATTACTGGGTTTTTAAATATTCTCAGTAGTAGCACGGAGTCTGGAATTGTGCCCGGTATATGGCAATAGGCTCACCCCCAATTACATGGGGCTCATAATATAAATAGTGAAAAATGGGTGTTAGGTATAGTTGTATAGTGGTATAATGTGCACCTCTGCTTAACCCTTCGGGGATAAAAGGCGTGATGTTATGTTGATTAATGTCTGTCAAGCCAATTTTTAAAGAGGGGACTTACAACTACATTGGCTTCGAGCCCAGCCCACGGTTATCTAAAGGAGAATTGCGTTGTGTTTTGCTGTGCGAGTGAAGTTACCGGAGGCCCATTTACCCCCCCCCCCCCTCCTCAGTCTCCCCAATCCCCGACAGTTTTCAAATTTCTAATTCCCAAAAGACCGGTAATACACTTCTAGCGCCTCTGGTGTTTCAGGTGTCCATGGGTGGCGCAGATTGCTTTCCATCAGGTGATCCATATGCTCGTTTAGCTGCTTATGCCATAAAAAAACAGCAAACTATCATAGTAAATTTGGCCTTGACGGTCTATAATGAAAATGACTAATATTATTCATAATATTATTCAGCTCAGTGCAATTAATTTTTGATATATAAAAAAATACAAATTTAAGTTAAATGAAAATATTTTATTCGTGGTTTTATCTCCTTCATCATCAACAATAACAACGTCAACCTCTTTGCATACCCTAATATTAATAAAGTATTAAAAAAAAACTATGACACATTGTTAACTCACTTGTCACTTAAATGTCAGATGACTTAGAAATCTAAACTATATTATAAATTTGTGTGTGTCTGTTTGTTTGTTTGTCCGTCTTTCACGGCAGAAAGGAGTCAGGAGTCAGTCAAAGGTTTTTTGATTGGAGATAGTTGTAAGGATGGAGGGTAGCATAGACTACTTTTTGTCTTTTTCTAACCCCCACTTCCCTGAAACAGAGGTGGAAGTTTGTATAGGGTATTTTGCAATTTTCAACGTGGAAAGCTAAAAATTGGTATGCGGGTTATTTGTGACCAGCAAAAATCGTGCACCATTTCAATTTTTTTGTAAATCCTTCCCTCATCCCATTAAAATAACGCAAGCGAAGCCGCAGGCAGAGGCTAGTCTATGAATAAATTGTACTCACTTAATTGAATTCGTATTTTTTCTTTAAAATCCCTGATCTCTAATGCAGCTAAATACTAATATAAGTCATTGAAAACCCACGGAACTTAATTTTTGTTTGTCCATGCCAAAATTTACGCCAATATAGGTCTCAGAGATCCAATTTGGCTAACATTTTTGTTATTTTGTTATTACGCCCAAAATAACACAAAGTCATTACAAATGCCTGTATATTATTCTGATGTATGACCTGTTAATGTGAAGTTTCATCTAAATCAGATTAGTAGATTTGCGTGAATCAGTAACAAACTTATACACACTCATTCATCCTCACAAACTTTCGCATTTATAATATTAATAGCGACGTGTGCGGGTATTACCTTCACTCTTAGTCCAACGCATTTAATGATATTATAAATAATAAAAATATCATTGAACGCATTATTATATTTTGATTAAATTTGTGAAATTAATATTTTAGTGAAATTGATATTTTAGTGTAATTTGTTTATTTAATCTTATCAGGACAGGACCACCAGTTACTCCAGATCTTCGATTATCCTAGTTTTTATAGTTTTCCCTTTATGTGGCTATAAAACCCTAACTCTGTACCAAATTTCAGCTCTTGAGGTTATGGGAAGTACTAGTTCTATTTTGATGATCATGAGTGAGTTAGTGAGTGTCATAAATGCGAAACTTTGCTTTCGCTTGACTTCGGAACTAAATTACCTGTAGACTTGAAATTTTGGATTTTAAGTATGTGATTATAGCTTACTGGAAGACGAAAATTTCTGCGTTCTGGTCTTATCCCAATGTTCTCAAATAGGGGCCTGAAAATGCGACGAAATGGTTCCAGTAAAGGATGGTACGGCTGTGTTTGCTTCGCGCTCGACTTGGCGATTTAACGCACTGTTTTTAATTTTATATTCAAACTAGCTACCTCCGTGCGGTTACACACGCTGTTTGGCTCCCATCGGTCGTAGCGTGATGTTTTGTAGCCTATAAGCCTTCAATATTGAAATAGGATCAGTAGTTCTGGAGATTGGCGCGTTCAAACAAACAGAAGATATTTTTGAGTTTTATACCTCTATAATAATATAATATAAGATGTTGCCCATAACTTCAGTTGATATGGTAAACTCTACAGTAAAACTAGTTCTACTTATCAAAATCGGTGCCATGATAACGGATGGCTATTTGTTCTCAGAAAAAACAACAACTCGTGATCTCCAAGATATGTGGTACCGATAGAACGACGCGAATTCTCTTGCCACATGTCACGTGAAATCATGGATTTATAGCGAGAAAATTTTATATATTACATTCATTCTTTAAATTTTTCTAACAAATTCTTCAAATTTGGCCGTGTGCCTTGTGCTGCTTAAACTTTGCTGCTTTCGTTCAAAGTTAAACTCCTAATTTTAATACGATTCTTGTGTATTCTGTGGCGTTTTCACACACAAACAAGTCATTTATTTCAATTAGAGCAATATAATTCAATTTTGAGCGTAAAATATTTATAAAATAAGCTATCTATTATATTTGTTAAAATATATGCGTTTTATAATTATAATTACCTTACCTAATAATTACCTTGATTGAATAAAAATTTTTGCTTTTACGTCGTTCAACATCAACGGCCGCCTGTCTCACTTTTACTTGAAACTCATATAAGTACATGTGGCAACAAACAACGTATTTTGGGCTGTAGACAGTTAGAAATGTAATGTGGTTAGAATGTCATACGATTTCCTTCTAGAAATTAGTTTTTGTCTTCACAAGAACGATATTTAGTGCTAATTATCGTGATAATTAACAATCGACCATTTTAATTGCACATGTCGTTTCGATATTTTACAAAAGAAAGAATTGGCCTTATTGTGCAGATTTAGATGCAGTAATGGGAAGCAGTCTCTTGGTAGTCAAGGTTGTTTTACTACCCTATTTTACTATCCATGTATTACATGTATATATCGTAAGCAATATACAGTTTGTCTATTTATTACGGACTAGCTGTTCCCCGCGAATTCGTGCGCGTATGATAATGACTTCTGGCAAATTTTGGATTTTTAAAAGTCGTTTCCAAGGTTAATTCCAATGGTATGGAACAAATCTCACCAGCATAGTTGCAGTTATATTTATTGTGAAATGTTGTTTATATTGGTGGTTTCAAAAAATAAACAATTCCACAGGTATTTTTCCCGTATAGTACCCATTCCTGTGAGGTTTCAGTGATTGAAAGTCTATTTGAATTCCAATCAAATAGGTACAGAGGTTGAAAACTTTCAGGCGTCATTTCCGAGTCTCAAACTATCGTCGCGTCGTCGTCGTGCCGAATTCCACTTAAATAAGTTTAAAAAATAGGGAGACCCAGAAGATTAACGCAGTTCCTGCCCGGTGGGAATTCCGGGAGAGAACAATATAGATAGATCGATAGATATTGATGGATAATGCAGGATTCCAACGGTAAAATAATTTTTCAAATCGGTCCGGTAGTTTCGGAGCAGATTCAATTCAAACAAACAAACAATCAAATCTTTCCTCTTTATTATACTATTCTATTTATTAATGAAAATCAATGAGGGCGCCACATGTTGTAGGTACCAATCAAATTAATTCCAAAACTAACCTATAAATAAAGGTGTGGGGCATGTGCATAGATGTGTGCGCTGACGCGTGCACTTTATGTATTACGGTTGGTGCGGTGCCTGGGCAACTGGCTGCCGCGCAACGTGTCGCGGGTTCGATTCCCACAAGGAACAACACATTGTGTGATTCACAAATTGTTGTTTCGGGTCTGGGTGTCATGTGTATGTAAACTTGTATGTTTGTATATGCACCCACGACACAGGAAAAAAATCCTAGTGTGGGTAACGTATAAAAATAACATTAAAATAATATGAAGAATAGAAATAGAGAAGAAGTTCCATACAAAATTATTCATTAAAACTTTAATAGGTACCTAATTCACAATTTTGTGGACAGTTATATCATTATGATATGAGCTTATGGCACCGACTTCTAACCTATCAGTGGGTGGGTAACCTATCAGTACTAATAATAGTTATTTTTTGCTTTTTAGTTTAGACTTTTTGTTTGTTATTAGTTTTGGTTTTTTGAAGTCGGTTTTTTAAACGCAGTTTTTATTTTATTATTTTATCATTTTCAGTGTAAAGCTACATATACCCGTTTTGTTACTTATAACCTACATAGGTGCAAAGTTCTAATTAATACAAATTATACAAGCCTAAACACAAGGTAGTTACAGTATACCGTTGAGGAGTTCCCTTAACAATTACACTTCTTCATCATCAGACCCTTAATGACAGCCCTACTCTATTTAGGTGTAAAGTCCTCATCAATACAAATTAATCAAGCCCAAACACAAGGTAGTTAGTATAAACCGCTGAGGAGTTCCCTCGACTGTCTATCGGCTCCATCATCAGGTCGACTCCAGACCCTTATCAAATTGTAGTGTTTAAAAATCCTAATTGAAAAACATAATAGACGCATCACTCGCCCATATAATTTTCGAAAGTTCCCCTCGGTTTCCCTAGGATCCCATCATCAGATCCTGACCTCATGGAAATGGGACCATCTTGGGAGTATACCCTTTCCAACAAAACAAAAATTTTGCAAATCGCTTCACGCATCTGAGTTATGCGCGTACATACATACAAAAAAAAAAGCAACATACCGGCCGAACGTATAATCTCCTCCTTTTTTGAAGTCGGTTAAAAAATTCATTTATTTTGTAGGTTTTTCACTTCATATAAATGAAATACAAATACTATAATACGATTCCTACCTTATACAAAATTCATCCAGCTTCTTGTTTTCACTTATACTCGAAACTAGCTGTTGCCCGCGACTTCGTCCGCGTAGATTAATGACTTCTGACAGAATTAACCAGAATCAATTCAGTGCCCAAGTAAGATTTACCTATTTTGAAATGATTTATCGTAGTTTCAATAAATAAATAATCCCGCAGGGATCTTACCAGTACAGTGCCCGATCACGTAAGGTTTGAGTAATAAAAACTATTATATCGACTATTGTTGTACCGAATCTCTCTAGAATAAGTTCAGTAGTTAAGAGTTAGAGAGTCCTGGGGCATTGACGCATAGTTCCCGTTCTCGTGAAACATCTGTGAAAAAACTATCATACGTTACCCAGGTCCTAAATCATCGTTTTACCGAATGTAATTCAAAAAGATTCAATGATTCTAAATTCAACGGATAAGAAGATTTATACAAACTCTCATTCCCTATTTTATCCTCTTAGGGGTGGAATTTATCAAAATCCTTTCTAAAGAGATACCTATGTCATAGTAACTTTATGCATGCAAAGTCTCAGCCCGATCAATTTAAAACTGGCAAAGTATCATACAAACTTTCACCCCCTATTTTACCTACTTTGGGGTGAGAATGTTCAAAAACCTTTCTAAAGGGACGTTTACGTCATAATATCCATCTGCATGCCGAATTTCAACCCGATCGGTGTAAAACTGACAAAGCTTCATACAAACGTTCATCCCCTATTTTACCCCCTTAGGGGTGGAAATTATCAAAATCCTTTCTTAGCGGATGCCTATGTGATGACATCTATCTGCATGTCAAATTTCAATCCGATCGATTTAAAACTGACAAAGGCTCATACAAACTTTCATCCCCTATTTTACTCCCTTGGGGTGGAAATTATCAAAATCCTTTCAAAGCGGATGCCTACGTCATAACATCTATCTGCATGCCAAATTTCAACCCGATCGATTTAAAACTGACAATGTCTCATACAAACTTTCATCCCCTTTTTTACCCCCTTGGGGGTGGAAATTATCAAAATCCTTTCACATCGGATGCTTACGTCATAACATCTATCTGCATGCCAAATTTCGACCCGATCAGTTAAAAACTGACAAAGTTTCATACAAACTTTCATCCCCTTTTTACCTCCTTGGGGGTGGAAATTATCAAAATCCTTTCTTAGCGGATGCCTACGTCATAATATCTATCTGTATGCCAAATTTTAGCCCAATCTGTCCAGCGGTTTGGGCTGTGCGTTGATAGATCACTATGTCAGTCAGTCAGTCAGTCAGTCAATCACCTTTGAATTTTATATATATAGATACAATCAATCGAGATCCAGTCTGAATTCTTCTTTTGCATGTTTCTTAAACTTTTCTAAGTTTTATTCACTTAAATTCCAATCTAAGTAGTACATTTTTAACAAAAAACGATTCACAAAATAAATTCCATTACAGCTGATAACAATCAACGTACTTTCATTGAGTTATGTCTTAGTTTTATATATACTTAGTTTAATGTTGTTATGTCCTCAAACATTCGTCGTCATTCTTAAATACACAAACTAAACATGCCGACTAAATCAAATTAAAAAATTAAAATGCTTGATTACCGTTTACAACAAGATACAAATCGTATCAAGCGTCATCAGTACATTGAACTTTATAGTGACGTAGTTAGTTACCATCTATCATACAAAACTATTAGAACTACATATTCATCAATTAATTTCTAGTTTCTAGCTTTTGACTTATCATCGGTGGTAGAAATACTGCATGGCATTTGAACTGTATACAAATACATATTTAAAAATCGGAGATTCGGAGATCGGATTACTCTTAGAAGAAGGATATCATGTTAATGTTTTTTTCGGTTGGTCGCTAATGGATCCTGGCGTGCATGAATTTGCTGAGTAGGTATTTGTAGTACCTTCTTAGCGAATCTTCTCTGGAAACAGCGAGCTTTTCTTTTTATTTTTTATCTATGTAAAGTAACGATCGCCAAAAATTTCGCTTAGATTAATTTCTATTTTAAGTCAATATCTCTTGTCTTGTCTATTTAAATTTGATTTTATTATCGTTACTACGAAAATTCACAAAATTTTTGGTTGATCTATTTGGGATTAAACAAATTTCAATGTCACTAAAAAAAATAGATATTATTATCATAATTAAACAATATTACGCATTCAATTAATGATTCCGGATTGGCCACATTGTGCGTTTGATTATATTAGAATCAGAAGAAATGTATATAAACGTATTTGGCGATAGGTGCAACATCAGTCGCTCAGCAGCTACCGAACAATATGAAATCCGTACGTTCATTTACGTAGTTACCATTTTAGGGCGTACTTAATTTGAAAATACTGATCAGTTTTTCAATTGTTAATTGCCACATGTTCATCCAGTGAAGATGATTATTTATAAAATATTTTAACTATGTGTTTTGTGTACCTACTACAGATGATCATCGTCGCCCTCGCCCTCGTGGCCGTCGCCGCCGCTATCCCTGTCGACGAGACCGAGATTGTCAATCAATTCTTCGATCAGAAGCCTGATGGCAGTTACGTCTCCGAGTAAGGCAATTTTCCCATTTTGGGACTGGATACTAAGAAATTAGAGTCAAGTTTCAATATTATACATGATCACTAGCCAACAAATTTACTTCATACTAAATTTAACACTATATTATTAATTAATAATTTGTATGTTATTCACAGATTCGAGACCACCAACGGTATACAGCGCAAAGAGGAAGGTGTGCTGAAGGAGGCCCTTGACGAAGAAAACATCCCCCATAAATTTGTCGCTGTCAGTGGAGTCATCTCCTACGTCAACCCTGATGGTGAAGTTGAAACCATCAGATATGTTGCTGACGAGAACGGATACCGCGCGGATGGACCCTCCATCCCCAAGGTCCCCGCCAGTAGCTAAGCTGCTACTGACTTCTCATCGATCTTAACCATAGCTTTATTATTGACAATAAATAATCTGTTGTGCCTAGTGGCTGTTGTCGAAGACCGCGCGCTTCTTGGCGTTCCTTATTATTTAATTTTGTTACACGTTGAGTTTTATTGTAATGTAAATAAATACACATTTTAAGAACTTAACCTACGCATTTTATGATTTTTATCCTAACTTATACTAATGAACGCCAATTAGGATGATAGCAGGGTATGAAAATTAAAAATCTAATTAGTCCGTAAGTTAGGTAATTAAAAAATATTAGACACGTATTTTTTTATTTTGTCGTATAATAAAACAATATTTAGATAAAACGAATCAAAGTTAGGAGTTGGGCTAAAACGTCATTTCATTTCATTTCATTTCATAGAATGTACATAGAGTGACGTCACGCGAAATTACAAATCAATAGGTATATCGTCGAATGTATTCGCTTCTGTAAGATAATAAAAAATACGTGTTTAATGATTTAAAATAATCTACCAGGCGGATATTAAAATAAAAAATAGGCATCTAATAGGGTTATTACTGATTACTTAAAAACTTCCCCTCGAGAAAGACTCAGGTGCCAGGACCAAAACTTGACGTCCGCAATGGGCGTGTTGGAGGATTGTAATTACATCCTGCGAGGTCTGTAATTTAAGGCTCTTGTAATTTGCTCTTCCATGACGGTCGATTGTCTTGTGTGTCGGGTGAGCTGGAACTGGCGTCGGTCACGTCGGTGCCTCGGACTGTCAGAACGCAAGAGTGAAAAGTCAACCGACCACTATTAGTAGCTCGTTCCAGGACGCTGGCTGCACTTGATCTTTTTTTATCCAATGACTTCTCCCGCCTTGTGTGAGGCGAGAGAGAGTGTCAGACTCTTACTGACTAAAAACCACCCTGTTCCTACTACTACTCTTCAAGCCAGTGCCCCGGCAACCCCGAAGAGGGTTCTGGTGAAGGACGTTGTTGATGAGGAGAACAAGCCCCGCTCAGTCGTCGTTGTCCACGGTTCTTACTCGTACGTCAACGCTGATGGACAATCTGAAAACATTGACTTCTTCGCTGACGAGAAAGGTTACCGCGCAGAGGGATCTTCAGTCCCCAAGGCCCCCGCCAGGAGATAAGCTACTACTGTCTTCTCCTCGATTTTAATTATACTTCGATAGCTGTATTGACAATGATCTGTTGTGCCCAGTGACTTTGTTATCGTTTAAGTTTGCCAGTCAGGCGGGAGCGTCGCGGAGAACCTAACGGGTAACCGGGGCTCCGGCTCGACGTGCAGGAGAAGGAACGGGGTGGTTTTTAGTCAGTAAGAGTCTGACACTCCCTTCCGCCTCACCCAGACGGGAGCAGTCATTCGATGATTTCCCCCCTTAAAAAAAAAAGTCAGACGGGAGCGCGCGGTGGTGCTACTGCCACCCTTTTTTCTTAGCGTCCCTTGTTATTTAATTTTATTACCTGTTGAGTTTTATTGTTATGTAATCGCAATGTTAATAAATGGAAATTTTGGTATATTTTTCAATGATTTAAGCAAACCACTTTATTCCTAAGAATAATTTTCAAAAATGTTAGTGAGTATTAATAACTAGTACTGGAAGCATTTTTTTCATACCTAAGAAATTATTATAAAAAGTCAAATTTAACGCACTGTATTTAATTTTATATTAAAACTAGTTACCTCCGTGCGGTGACACACGCTGTGTTTGGCTCCCATCGGTCGTAGCGTGATGTTTTGTAGCCTATAAGCCTTCAATTATTTAAATAGGATCAGTAGTTCTGGAGATTGGCGCGTTCAAACAAACAGAAAATATTTTTGAGTTTTATATAATAGTATAATAATATAATATAAGATGTTGCCCATAACTTCAGTTGATATGTTAAACTCTACAGTAAAACTAGTTCTACTTATCAAAATCGGTGCCATGATAACGGATGGCTATTTGTTCTCAGAAAAAACAACAACTTGTGATCTCCAAGATAAGTGGTACCGATAGAACGACGCGAAGCCTCTTGTCACATGTCACGTGAAATCATGGATTTATAGCGAGAATATTTTATATATTACATTCATTCTTCAAATTTTTCTAACAAATTCTTCAAATTTGGCCGTGTGCCTTGTGCTGCTTAAACTTTGCTGCTTTTGTTCAAAGTCAAACTCCTAATTTTAATACGATTCTTGTGTATTTCTGTGGCGTTTTCACACACAAACAAATCATTTATTTCAATTAGAGCAATATAATTCAATTTTGAGCGTAAAATATTTATAAAATAAGCTATTTATTATATTTGTTAAAATATATGCGTTTTATAATATTTACCTAATAATTACCTTGATTGAATAAAAATTTTTGCTTTTACGTCGTTCAACATCAACGGCTCGCCTGTCTCACTTTTACTTAAAACTCATATAGGTACATGTGGCAACAAACAACGTATTTTGGGCTGTAGACAGTTAGACATAATTATAATGTGGTTAGAATGTTAAACGATTTCCTTCTACAAATTAGTTTTTGTCTTCACAAGAACGATATTTAGTGCTAATTATCGTGATAATTAACAATCGACCATTTTAATTGCACATGTCGTTTCGATATTTTACAAAAGAAAGAATTGGCCTTATTGTGCAGATTTAGATGCAGTAATGGGAAGCAGTCTCTTGGTAGTCAAGGTTGTTTTACTACCCTATTTTACTATCCATGTATTATATGTATATGTACATATCGTAAGCAACATACAGTTTGTCTATTTATTACGGACTAGCTGTTCCCCGCGAATTCGTGCGCGTATGATAATGACTTCTGGCAAATTTTGGATTTTTTAAATAGTCGTTTCCAAGGTTAATTCCAATGGTATGGAACAAATCTCACCCGCATAGTTGCAGTTATATTTATTGTGAAATGTTGTTTATATTGGTGGTTTCAAAAAATAAACAATTCCACAGGTATTTTTCCCGTATAGTACCCATTCCTGTGAGGTTTCAGTGATTGAAACTCTATTTGAATTCCAATCAAATAGGTACAGAGGTTGAAAACTCTCAGGCGTCATTTCCGAGTTTCAAACTATCGTCGCGTCGTCGTGCCGAATTCCACTTAAATAAGTTTAAAAAATAGGGAGACCCAGAAGATTAACGCAGTTCCTGCCCCGTGGGAATTCCGGGATAGAACAATATAGATAGATCGATAGATATCGATGGATAATGCAGGATTCCAACGGTAAAATAATTTTTCAAATCGGTCCGGTAGTTTCGGAGCAGATTCAATTCAAACAAACAAACAATCAAATCTTTCCTCTTTATTATACTATTCTATTTATTAATGAAAATCAATGAGGGCGCCACATGTTGTAGGTACCAATCAAATTAATTCCAAAACTAACCTATAAATAAAGGTGTGGGGCATGTGCATAGATGTGTGCGCTGACGCGTGCACTTTATGTATGACTGCACGGTTGGTGCGGTGCCTGGGCAACTGGCTGCCGCACAACGTGTCGCAGGTTCGATTCCCGCAAGGAACAACACATTGTGTGATTCACAAATTGTTGTTTCGGGTCTGGGTGTCATGTGTATGTGAACTTGTATGTTTGTATATGCACCCACGACACAGGAAAAAATCCTAGTGTGGGTTAACGTATAAAAATAACATTAAAAAAAAGATTGGTATCTGTAGCGTTAAGTGTCCACAGTTACAGTACTTACTCTAATTAAATTCATTCGATGTCTATAAACCGAGCGTTTCACTTGTGTTCAATATTAACCTATACCTCCTGACTCACACACCACTACATACACACTTACAAAGGTATGTGCAATGTAAACAATACTTATTTTAGACAAAAATAATAAAATAAAAACTGCGTTTAAAAAACCGACTTCAAAAAACCAAAAACTAATAACAAACAAAAAGTCTAAACTAAAAAGCAAAAAATAACTATTATTAGTACTGATAGGTTACCCACCCACTGATAGGTAAGAAGTCGGTGCCATAAGTTCCATACAAAATTATTCATTAAAACTTTAATAGGTACCTAATTCACAATTTTGTGGACAGTTATATCATTATGATATGAGCTTATGGCACCGACTTCTAACCTATCAGTGGGTGGGTAACCTATCAGTACTAATCATAGTTATTTTTTGCTTTTTAGTTTAGACTTTTTGTTTGTTATTAGTTTTTGGTTTTTTGAAGTCGGTTTTTTAAACGCAGTTTTTATTTTATTATTTTATCATTTTCAGTGTAAAGCTACATTTACCCGTTTTGTTACTTATAACCTACATAGGTGCAAAGTTCTAATTAATACAAATTATACAAGCCTAAACACAAGGTAGTTACAGTATACCGTTGAGGAGTTCCCTTAACAATTACACTTCTTCGTCATCAGACCCTTAATGACAGCCCTACTCTATCTAGGTGTAAAGTCCTCATCAATACAAATTAATCAAGCCCAAACACAAGGTAGTTAGTATAAACCGCTGAGGAGTTCCCTCGACTGTCTATCGGCTCCATCATCAGGTCGACTCCAGACCCTTATCAAATTGTAGTGTTTAAAAATCCTAATTGAAAAACATAATAAGCATCACTCGCCATATAATTTTCGAAAGTTCCCCTCGGTTTCCCTAGGATCCCATCATCAGATCCTGACCTCATGGAAATGGGACCATCTTGGGAGTATACCCTTTCCAACAAAACAAAAATTTTGCAAATCGCTTCACGCATCTCAAAGTTATGCGCGTACATACATACAAAAAAAAAGCAACATACCGGCCGAACGTATAACCTCCTCCTTTTTTGAAGTCGGTTAAAAAAATAATTTATTTTGTAGGTTTTTCAGTTCATATAAATGAAATACAAATTAATACTATAATACGATACCTACCTTATACAAAATTCATCCAGCTTCTTGTTTTATTGAACATCACTCACTTATACTCGAAACACAATCAATCGAGGTCCACTCTGAATTCTTCTTTTGCATGTTACTTAAACTTTTCTAAGTTTTATTCACTTAAATTCCAATCTAAGTAGTAAATTTTTAACAAAAAACGATTCACAAAATAAATTCCATTACAGCTGATAACAATCAACGTACTTTCATTGAGTTATGTCTTAGTTTTATATATACTTAGTTTAATGTTGTTATGTCCTCAAACATTCGTCGTCATTCTTAAATACACAAACTAAACATGCTGACTAAATAAAATTAAAAAATTAAAATGCTTGATTACCGTTTACAACAAGATACAAATCGTATCAAGCGTCATCAGTACATTGAACTTTATAGTGACGTAGTTAGTTACCATCTATCATACAAAACTATTAGAACTACATATTCATCAATTAATTTCTAGTTTCTAGTTTTTGACTTATCATCGGTGGTAGAAACACTGCATGGCATTTGAACTGTATACAAATACATATTTAAAAATCGGAGATTTGGAGATCGGATTACTCTTAGAAGAAGGATATCATGTTAATGTTTTTTTCGGTTGGTCGCTACTGGATCCTGGCGTGCATGAATTTGCTGAGTAGGTATTTGTAGTACCTTCTTAGCGAATCTTCTCTGGAAACAGCAAGCTTTTCTTTTTATTTTTTATCTATGTAAAGTAACGATCGCCAAAAACTTCGCTTAGATTAATTTCTATTTTAAGTCAATATGTCTTGTCTTGTCTATTTAAATTTGATTTTATTATCGTTACTACGAAAACTCACAAAATTTTTGGTTGATTTGGGATTAAACAAATTTCAATGTCACTAAAAAATAGATATTATTATCATAATTAAACAATATTACGCATTCAATTAATGATTCCGGATTGGCCACGTTGTGCGTTTGATTATATTAGAATCAGAAGAAATGTATATAAACGTATTTGGCGATAGGTGCAACATCAGTCGCTCAGCAGCTACCGAACAATATGAAATCCGTACGTTCATTTATGTAGTTACCATTTTAGGACGTACTTAATTTGAAAATACTGATCAGTTTTTCAATTGTTAATTGCCACATGTCCATCCAGTGAAGATGATTATTTATAAAATATTTTAACTATGTGTTTTGTGTACCTACTACAGATGATCATCGTCGCCCTCGCCCTCGTGGCCGTCGCCGCCGCTATCCCTGTCGACGAGACCAAGATTGTCAATCAATTCTTCGATCAGAAGCCTGATGGCAGTTACGTCTCCGGGTAAGGCAATTTTCCCATTTTGGGAATGGGTACTAAGAAATTAGAGTCAAGTTTCAATATTTAACATGATCACTAGCCAACAAATTGACTTCATATCAAATTTAACACTATATTATTAATTAATAATTTGTATGTTATTCACAGATTCGAGACCAGCAACGGTATACAGCGCAAAGAGGAAGGTGTGCTGAAGGAGGCCCTTGACGAAGAAAACATCCCCCATAAATTTGTCGCTATCAGTGGAGTCATCTCCTACGTCAACCCTGATGGTG